GGTAACGCCGGGGGAAACAACGAGGCCGATTAAAGGCCATAACGAGCGTTTCGGTCCCTGCCCGAACGGTCCGTTCGCAGGCGAGCGGGCCCCGGGGCCTTATTGCGCGCTGACGCGGCAGCCTTAATTTCCAATGATTTTCGGGGGGCCGGCTGGTCCTTCGGAAGTAAAAAATAATCATCGTCGAAGTCGAGCTGGCCTCCTTCTCGCCCTCGCCTTCCTCGCCGGGCCCCGTCGACGACGTCGGGCCCATCGCCGTGGGCCAGCAGGCGCGCGTCTTTCCCCTCCCTCCTCGCCCTGCCCCTTTCTCCGCGACTGGCTTTCGGCCTCCTGTAGAAAATCCCTCTTTGTCTCCGTCTCTCTTCCTCGGTCTTGGGCCCGCTGTCAAAATTGCGGTTCCTCGAAAGAAAAGCCGGGCCAGATGTCGGGTCCTCGGAGAGGTCCTCGCAGACGGCGGGCGGACCGGAATCGGGGGTGGGCGAGGTTAGGTTTCCCGTCCGGGCGGAAAAACCTCTCGACTGGGCCCATTGTCTCCCGACAGGTGAGCCAGGGGATCGCTTTTCGCGACTTGGCCCCGCCGAGGTGAGAACGAGAATCTAATGGCGCACTCGAAGAGTGCCTTGCGGCCTTTCCGGAGCGGCCGAGAGTCCTGCTCCAATTTCGGAATAGAGACGTCGATCTCTATCGGGGCCCTTCCGGGGGTCGAAATCCCCGCAGAGTTCCTCCGGATTCTCGCACCTGGAGCGGGCCATTACTCGAAATCCCGATAATTATCGGGCGAACGTTACCGGGCGCGCGATCGATCGGCGCCATCTTGGAACAACTATCAATTAGTAGAAACATCTGCCGCCCGGGCGGAAATATGGGCCCGGGGTGAAATATATCCCGTCTCGATTTTTCGAATTTCGTGCAAGAGGCGCTTATCTCCGTCCTCCTCGAAAACCCTCTTTCACCTATGCTGCCTCCCCGTGCATCTGTCAGGTATATTTTCCCCTTGTTAGGGGGTTCGATAAGTCGACGGATCCTGCGCTCTCGCTCGATTTATTGCGCTCGGGTGCCCCGCTTATCGAGGGTACTCCCCCGTCCTCCGACCGGTCGATAAATAAACAAATTCCTGAGTAACACTTTTCTCGGATAAAAAAGGGCCCAGGATAAACAAGGGGGTAAAAAGGACCCCTCCCGTTGTTTTCTCCCTTCTCGGGCATTGTTTAGGTGCCGGAGAAGGTGGGAAGCGAGAAGATTAGCCGTGGGAGTCGACCTTGTTCTTTCTTCCTGAGGAGCGCGCAGCCTCCTCCGGCGGAAGTCCGAACGCGAGAGCCAGGAAGGAAGGAAATCAGGAAAGAGGGAGAGGCCCGAGTCGAGGCCCCGCGGGCGCGAGAGAGATCGAACGAGGAGAGGGAAAGAAAGGAGGCTCGGTTCGACAGAAACAGCAGCTGCAACACCCGATACGTATCGTCGCTGCGCCCGCCGGAGGGGGACTGGCCCCGGCGGGGAGGGGCCCGGTCACGTGAGATCATTATCGTTATATCGGGGCCTTCGGCCGCGCTCGGCGCCGCTCGGCAACCTTCGGGCGCGTGGCACGCGTGCGGCCCCGTCCCCACTCCGGCCCGCCCGGGCCCGCTCTTATCTCCTCGGGCCCAAATTGCGCACTGGAGGCGCTGACTTCCAAGGGGGTTGCTCCGCGCAAACGCGGATCGGCGGCTTATCTCTACCCTTGCGCCTTATCGCGTCCAGTACCCACTTTACGCGGCCAGGGGATGAAGCTGTCAGAATTGTACCTCCTCTCCACCCTATTAAAAAAAATATATATATATATTGGAATATAATTTCCCTACACGATGTTTTGCTGCAGCCTTTTATATTAAAGGTGTCGAATTTTATGGATATCTTTGTTAGGATATTTCCGACGGATGTTGCAGTCCCTTTACGGCATCGTTCGAGAGTGGACGTCGAGCGGACCCATGGCGATTTGGTGCTCGAAAGCGACGCCCTCGTCGACACGAGGATTACGTCGGTCTCGTTACGCGGACACGAGCCAATCCCGGGTCGAATGCCCAAATCGTATTCCTCGTCACGAACGGGTGCGACCTTTCAGGGCCCCTAAGTCAGCGCTCGAATTGGCGCGCACGCGGAATGGCTCGCACCTCCGAATACGGGGCGAGACAAAATCCCGCCGATCTTTCACGGGGTGAAATCCAATGGGGCCCAATAAGGTGATAATATAAACGTCCAATCCAGTCGACGACCCGTGGCCGTTCTCGTTACGGGAGATAAGTCGGCTAGAAAGTGTCGATAGAACACCTCGGCAGATGCAGGGCCCGATTGGAGGCGGTCGTAAAACGGGAGAAAAGTTATAAAACGCAATCAACCGGGCCCCGGGGGTCGGACGATGGATTCGCCTTCCTCTTCCTCCCAGCCCCTTTCCTCGCGAAATTTGGACGTACCCCCACGTGCGTTTCGCCCGTGCGTATTTCCAGCTGCCGCGAAGCGCAGGATTACGCAAGCGAAGCATCCATCAAGCCGCGTTAGACGCGCGGGGGGAGGTTAAGCCCCGAGGGGGGATCTCCAAAGCTCACAAATTCCCGTCCCCCTCGCCTTTCGCCATCGCCTTCCGGCGAAGCTCCCCGTAAACACTTCCTCCGATCCGTCCGCCGTCCGCGCCGGTGTTTGCTTTCCCAGCCCTCCCTCGTCCTCTCGGAGCGATATCTCCTCGAAGGCGCGAGACCTGGAAGTCGATGCACCAGGTGCACTTAGTTGCATTAAGAATCCCGGTATGCAATGTGCAATCCATTGGGCAAAACTCGTTACGTCGAGGTGCGTCCATCGGCGTTGCGCACTCGCGGCACGTGGGAAAGGGACATTACCCGAGGTGGCGCAACCACCATCATCTCGCAGGACACTCGGGGAAAATTGCCCCCAATCGAGTGCACCTGCCCCAGTAGAATTCCAATTTCAATCCCCTTTCCCGATTTCAAATTATCAAGGTGATATGCCTTTCTTATCGCCTTAAAGACGCCCCCCGACGATGGGATCCGAGATGAAAAATTCGCCCCGATCCGCGGCGTGCGTAAACCCGTGCGTAATCCACTCGGCATGAATGAACGGAGTCGTAGGGAGTCGCGTGACGGATATTCACGAGTTGGTCGGCCACGTGAAACGAGCGCCGTCACGAGGGGGCGCCGCGAGTGGGTGCGGATCGGTGGGCGTCCGTGCATGCGCGGGAACTCCAAGGTACATGGACGGTAAGGTGGAAAGGTACCCCCAAAGCGGAGTCCGACGTACCTGACGCGGTTTTCAGGGCCCGAGGAAGGCAAGGGGGGTCGTGGTCATATAGATATATAGGTACACGCGTCCCCCATAGGGGTAAGGTACGTACAGAGGCCAGGGCGACGCATAGCAAGGGGAAAGGGGGGTCGAGAGGGGTGCAGAAGGGGAGAGGGCGAGAAGGGACGAGCAGGCCCGGGAAGGGCCGGAAGTGGTTCCATCTGGCTCCCCCGTCGGTCTGACCTGTTGAACCACCTCGCGACCGGAAGTATACCGTGCCGAGTATACCCCGAGAGTACACTTCCCCTCCTCCGGTCGGCGGAAACGACAAAGGCTTCCCTCCGCCATGGGACACCTTATCACCGGTTCGTTTGCTCGATTACAGGGCCGAGATCGCGCCCTTCCTCGGAGATTTACGCGAACGGGTGGTTTCGAGGCATCCCCCTCCCCCTCGCGATAGCGGGAACTTATTTCCGCCGGATATAACGATGCAGGGGCGAGATAACGATGCGCGAGACAGGTCCTCCGAGGATAGGGACACGGGGGTTGGGGTTTGCCTTCGAAAAGTCCAGTCGCAAGGGGGAGAGGGGCGAAATCGCGGGTGCAATTTGTCGCGGCACCGATAATCGGAGGATTCGGGTCGGGCACAGGGGAACGGGTCTCGCCAGTCCGGTAGGCCTCGCGTAGGAGCGCCGCCGCGTACGCGGAGCGCGCGGCGTCGAGTGACGTCACTCGGAAGAGGCACGCGGCGCGTGCCAGTGGTCCCTCGGGAGGGGCGGGAGGGGGTCGGGTGGTGGGGGTGGGCGCGTGCAGCCGGCCTGCAGCTGCCGCCCCGCGCCCCTTTCCCCGGGGCCCCTGGGGGGACCGCTGTTATAAGTAGGGGTGCCTCCCAGCTGCAACCTCCAGTCGAGGGTTGCACGTCCTCCGAATCGAGCTCTCGCTGTCGCTCCTGGCGGCGACGCGCGCGCACGGGACTCGAGGCCTCGCTTCTCTTCGCCGCTCCCAGGAGAAGGGACCCCCGGTGTCGGTCGCGACCGAGGACGGAGTTTCCCCGGGGTGGCGAGTCTCCCATTTCGCGGCGGCGCCGGTCGGCCGGTCGTCCAGTGGCGCCATCCGTCGGGCGCGCCCGCCGAACGGTCGGTGCGCGGGAGTGCCGCGAGGTGGCGGCGGCGCACGGCGCGCTCAGCTCGCGAGAGACGGCCGCGCGGCAGCGGCTCCCGTGCTCTCTCCGGGGCCGGGACATAGGAGGAGCGCCGCGGGCGCCAGTAGTACCTCGGCAGCGGAGTGGTGATTTTCGTGCTTTTTCGTATCTCCCCTCTCGCTCTCTCCGTCCCCCACCTCCCGAGCCGCGGCGGCGCCGATCGAGGAGAGGTACCTCCCCCCCTCCCTGCCTACTCCTCCCCACCCGCTCCGCCGGAGCACACCGAGGGATATTCCTGAGGCCGGGTTCGGTCGGTGCGCGTCGCGTAGTCGCGCCGAGTGTCTCGTCCCTCGCCTCGCCGAAGCTGCGCCCGCTCCTCGGTAGGCCCAAGAGTCGGCGACCATCCTTCCGCCGCTCGCCACCCGGCGATGGAATAGAGTGTCGGGGGCGCGCGCGCGCGACCCGCGCACCCCGGTGAGTTGACAGTGCTCTCTCTCTCTCTTCCCCCTCGAGGAGAGACCGCGGACCGGACCATGCCCAAGCCCGCGGCCCTGGGCCCCCGCCGAAGGAGGTAACCGTCCCGCGGACCCCGCNCCCCGGCCCCGCGACCCCCAGCCCGGCGACCACTCTTGCGGCCCCCGAGGAACCCTCCGAGGCGCAACATGTGGACCAAGATGATGCTCTGGACCGCCGTCGTCGCGCTCCTCCCACGACCAACCCCGGTAAGTACTCTTTCGATTCTCTTCAATTTTCTTTAAGGCCCCCGCGACGACTCTCGAGCCGAAAAGGGTCGTGGTCCCTCTTCTCTCTCTCTCCCTCTCTCCGTTCCGCTACCTTCGCGAAACGCCGTCTCGTGCCGTTCCTGCTTCTCTCTTTCTCCGCCCGGTCGCGGAGGCTTCGGCACGCTTGTCTATTTTCCCGCCGGCGTCGATTTGGGAATTTTTTTAGAGCCTTTGTGTACTTCCGAGCACTCTCTCCGAGACAAAGGACAGAAGTCTCGGCTTGTCCGGCGCGTTTCGGAGCGGCTCCGTTTTGTTGTGGAGAATTTCGGAATTCTCCCCGGTTTCGATCCGTCGACGCCGATGGGTTTCCGGGATTCTGGAGTCGAGTGCTCGGTTGCTCGTCGTCGGACATTTCTAAGTTCTCGAGGGGGGATTCGTTTTTTCTCGACACTTATGCTCGCTTGTCGGAGCTACGAACTTGGTAGGCCACTTCGAGGGAATCGTTAACATCCCGAGATTTTGCTGGCACTTTCTCGAAACAACATCTTTCTTGTAAATGTAATCGCCTCTCTGGGGAGATAGAGATACGCTTCTAGGCATAACTTGACGTTTGAAGCGTTAATTTTACCGGCGAACCGGCGAATCCTAACCTGTGATTTTTTTTGTAACCGACGCTTCGATGGAATGCAATCGGAATGCGTTAGCAAAACTTTCGCGGTGACGCGGATCGTTAGGCCTCGGAGAGATTCTCAGGCCGTCGGCACGATACGGTAGTTTCCTTTGTTGCAATCTCTCGTTTGATTTTACCGAGAATTTTCGAACTCTCGGCCGCGTGGCCGGCTCTCCTTCCTTACTTCCCTCGAAGAGTCGCAGGGCGTCTCTCTCGCTCCGCCGCGCGGGCCCCTTGCGCCCTCTCGCTCGCACTCGCACGCGGCCGCCCTCCGGGCCCGAGAGAAAGAAGGCTCGCCGGATTTTGACTACGGCGCTAAATCCGGACGTCGCTCTTTTAGAATTGTCTTCCTAGCCCTTCCGCGGCGGGTCTCGGGCTCCCGGTTCCCGTCTCCTGGGAATTCTCGAGGGGAACCGCGGCTTGCCAAGTTTCGTCGCACATTTTCCGGCCACCTTGATATCGGCCCGGAGAAAAGTCCAGCGGAATGGAGACAGAGAGAGAGGCGGATCGTTTATGACGAAATACCGGCGTGCGTCCATAAATACGCGTGAGCCGTTCGATCCCGGAATAGCCTAGGCGCGTTTCAAAAGTAAGAACACCGCCTGGAACGGAACGGAACGGAAAGGAACGCGCCTCGGGAGGAGCGCGACCTCGGCTTCCGATTCTCACCGGGTCCGGCTACTCGGGCTTCCCCGCGGAGGGAGAGGGTATTCCGATCGCACTAGACACATTCGAGGCAAGGAAAGCTCGAAACTCAAAATAACAACTTCGACTCGCTACGAGGATGATTCGAGATTTCTTATATATTTTTTCCTTTATTTATTTTTTTTTTTTTTTCCCAAGCGAAGGAAATCTTCATTAACGCTTATCCGGCGCCGCGTGCCGCGCCACGTGGTCGCCGGCCACGTTTGGGATTTTCGCGACACCTGAAATTTGCCGACTCAACGAATTTAATATTTTACACAATATTTCATATCGCTCGGTGTTTTGGAATCTGGGGCTTTGGTTTGAACGCGGTACTTCGGTGGTATTGGACGAGTCGCCTATTGTCAACTCCTTCGCGGTGCAGGTCCGTTCCAGGTTGCGGTTTTCTCGCGGATTTCCGACCTGCCGATCGCTCGCGAGCTCGTTAAGGCCAGACACGGGTCTTCGCTCGGATTGCTTAAGAGCGATCGGCCCGATCGGAGGAAGTCGGGTATCGGACGAGCCGCGACATCGGAAGTCGTTTAGGCCCGATCCCACGGGCGGTCGGATGTGTACTAGACAAACTACGCACTCGTGGTGCATCCCTCGCCCCTGTGGCCACGTTAAACGGCCGCTTTCGACGTCGGAAGGAAGGCGCTTCGTTTACGGCGACCGCCGCCGGCCACGGGGGCCCATAAGGCCGATAAGTGCGGTGCCCCTGCCTCGCTCTTACGATCAAGGGACGCCTTTTAGTCGGTCGTCGGTCGAACGACAACCGGCAAAAAGAACGAGTTCTAGACATTGTCTAGAGGAAGTCCTTAACACGCTAAAGACCCTCGTACCTCGTTTCCCGCAATTTTCTACCGAGCACAAGATCGATTTTACCGACATTCAGGGTGAATTTAAGTAGTTAATTTCTTTTTATTGTTATTTAAATTATTTCATATAAAAAAAAAAAAATTCCTGAATTTACGCCAGATAACGTAGGTTTCATTTTACACAATCGCGCGTTATTTGGCGAGGCGCTCGATAGCGCGACATCGCGATTTGAGATCGATCAGTCGTATTTAAGAAAATAATTCCTAGGTTTGTGACATGCAAATTAGGTCTCACTTTGGGCAGAGTCGCCCGTAAAGAGACTCGGCGGGTCGGGTGTATTTGGCTCGGTGCTCGATAACGCGACACTTTGTTTGGAGTCGGCGCGTTTAACGTAGGTTAGGGCACGCCGGAGAGTCGTTCCCGCGACGTCGCTCGCGAGAGGAAGAGACGCCCGACCTGGGGGAGGGAGAGAGAGGGACGGGAGTGACAACAAGCGGCCCCTCGGCCTCTCTCTCGCGTGCTCCGTTTCGAGCCGGCCGGGCACGCGCGGAAATTGCGTCTATTGTACCGGCGAGGTGTGTACCGCCGACGAGGGTACACGCGCGTGTACGAGCGTGTACGCGACGCCTCGGCCGGCGCGGAGTTTACCAAACGTCGCGGCGCGGCTCGACGTCGGCCGGCCGGCGACGCCGATCAGCTGTGACCGCCTTTTTCTCGAGCCTTTGATCCTCGGCCTCGACGCCGCGAATACACGTTATGGCGGATGCGCGGAAAGAGCTGCGCGCGTCGCCCGAATTCCAGCGAAGAAGGGGACAAAAAACGGAGAAACGAATTTTCAGTTAAATCTTTATGCTAATTTTAGAGGAATATTCCGACGTTACATTTAATATCGAGGTATACCGCGATATTAAGTGCAATCGGATCGGGATTTCTTGACCGTGGAATTTTAACCGGGGATTTGGCGCAATGACCGGTACCGATACATTTTTGATGATTCGACGGAGTATATATATATATATATTTTTTTTTTTTCGGGAGCACATGTATCGTTACGAAATAATTTGCAATCGATACGCGGACGTGTACGCGTGCAGATAACCCGGGCGCCTCTAAACGGTCGTTTTCGCTTAATCGGCGATTAATACATGTCGGGTCGGTATTTCCGCGGGCTTAATGCGCGGTTAATCGGTGCACGTTATCATTCAGGTGCGGCAAGCGTTTTCTACATATCGGGGTAATTGAAACGGGCAGGCCGATCGCGTTAGGCCGGATAAGCGCAATTTCGAGGGCGATTCGTTTACGGGGCGTTTGACGTGTTAATCCGCCGGGCGTGTCTTGCTCGTTTTCGTATCACTGGCCGAGGCATGTAATCGAATGGGCCTCGAGAGGTGCATTTACGAGGCCTCCTTTGAGGTGGCGGCGCGGGGACGATTTGTTTTGCGCTTGTTTATTATCCTCGTTGCGTACCGAGGGGGATCGTTAATGCGCGGCCGCTAATTGGAGTAAACGCGCGACTCCTGGCCCCCCTCCCCGGTCTTCGCCCTTCCCTCTGGGTGGAGGCGATCCGGCGATAATTGTCGTTTACAGGAGAAATAACGTATAATAATATATAATAATATATAATAATACGTAATAACGTATATGAGCGGACGAAACCAGATTCCGGATATTCGGGGTCCCCGTGATCGAGCGATTAATTATCCATATCGATTATTCGATTATTAATCCCGGTCCGGTTATTTCGTCGTACTTGACGTTTCTTTCGCCATTGACGAATTTAGGACCGATCGGGGAAGAGCGGATTCGCTTTTATCCGCAATTAATTTCCCTCCCGCTCGGGACGAGTAGATAGAAAGTCGCGCGTTATCAGGCCCGATTAAGAGCGGGTTTCTCCCGGTTAATGCGAATCCTCGATATATACACATATATATATCTCGGCTTTCCACGGTGCAGGAGGGTACGGGAATCGTGAGTCAGGAGCGTATCGGGAATGGAAAGTGGACGGTATTATTTAAATGCGCGTGGGCGGGCATAGGTGCGCACTCCCACACTCGGCCATTCATCGACGACGCGTTGCATCCTCGCGGGGTTTACTGCCGTCTCAATCTGTCGCCCCGGGCGAGGATAATCGTGTCTTTAAAGCGAGACTGCCCAAGAAATACGGCCCGCCTCGGGAGTTTAACGTCCAGGGAACACGGCTAATCCGACGTTCAATTTTTCACCGCGTCGTATTTTCCGGGTTTTCCGATGAAAAAAAAAAAATAAAAGAAAAAGGCGGAAAAAAATAAATAAAAAATAAACGGCAGGCGGTATCCTTTCGTCTTAATGGTTTCTACATGGCGCGGGAGGTGGCTCGATAAGGGGGGGCCGCGATGCCTCGATTACGGGGTACGAGCCGGATTCGACGAAACCCTTGGAAATCGGCCGTGAATATCCTGGACCGCGACCCCCCACGAGGATCGAGGAGGGGCCGCTTTTTGCGCGGCTGCGGATTGACAAAAAGCTCGCCCACAAATGTGCGAACACACTCGGGGACCCCGGGACCAAAGCGACGCGTCACCCCGACGATGTCTCCCGTGGAGAGGAGCCCTCGAGGAGGAACTGCTCTCCGGGTGTCTTTTTAACTCGTTTAAAAAAAATCGACCGATTTCGCCGAGGCGCGAGATAAAGGGGGAGGAAATGAGGAATACCCCGACCGTCCGGGTGACCATCCACGAGGGCGAGCTCCTCTCTCGGTGGGTCGAAAAAAGGTCCACCGCGAGTCTCACGGGAGGCTCCCTCGGGAATTAAGTGGTTCCCCCTGCCCGTTGTTCCGAAGACCGCAAATTTCGGGAAATAACGAGCGGAGGAACTGCCCGTTTCGTTTGCCGCCTCGGCCCCGGCCTCGGGATCTCCGAAATCCCCCGGGTAATGGCTGCGATTAGGAGCCGCGGATCCCGGGTCCCCTGGGTGCGCGCCCTCGAGAGAGAGAGACCGAGGCGCGACCATTTCTCCTCGCATTATGGGGCGACCTCTCCGTCCGTCCCTCCTTTTACCGCGGACAGATTACAGTGTCGGTCGCGTTTATGCCGCACTTCGTTACGGATTATGCCATCTTCTCGGGCGTGGTATCCCGAGCGAGGCGTATCCGAACGTGCGGCGCATACGCTTAACTCTCCGACCCGCGACTTCTCTCCGCGCCGGGGCCGAGAGGATCTCCGTCTCTTTTTCGCTTTCGCGTAGCGAGGCGGAATTAACGCGCTCCTTTCTTTCCATACGTCCTCTCTCGAGAGAGAGGATCCCGGCGAACCCGGCGCATCTACCCCGGCCAGAGGTTCAGATCAGCCTAGGTTAGGGTAGGTTATGGACCAGGATTGACGTATCTTGTCGTTTCCAGGTGACCGCCTCCGGGGTGTTCGAGCTCCGGCTCAAGTCCTTCGTCAACGAGTACGGGAAGGACAGCCTGGGGAAGTGCTGCTCGGGCACCACCTCCAGGACCGGCGAGTGCTCCGGAGTCTGCCGGACGAGGTTCAGGGTGTGCCTGAAACAGTACCAGGCGAAGATCGACACGACCACCCCGTGCACCTACGGAGACGTCGTCACGCCGGTCCTCGGCGAGAACGTCGTCAACCTCAGCTCGACGGTCGCCCTGCCCAGCTTCAGCAACCCCATCAGCTTCCCCTTCGACTTCACGTGGCCGGTGAGTCGACGCCTCTCGCGTACTCCATATAGTCTAAGGTCCGAGGTTCAACGGCCCCGACGCTCTCCGGCGTCGGGGGAACGCGGTGAAAGATCCCCGGTGTACCTGCAACCTCTCCTCCTCCGAGGTGCATCTCCAATCCGAGGCCGGGTCGTCGCGGAAAATTTCCTCGCGGAGGAAAAATTTTTTTTATGCGTATATCCGCGTAAAAAAAATTTCCTCGCGGAGGAAAATTTTTTGATGCGTATATCAGCGTAAAAAAAAAAATTATTCAAATGCAACCTGCGCGAAACGATGCGGACGTCGTTATCCTCGTTGTCCGTAACGCGACCGTGGAGGGTCCGCGTTTTCCGGGTCCTCGCGAATCGGGCGAATATCCGAGAGAGACGGCGCCATGTCGAGTGCCCGCGCGAGAAAGAGACAGAGAGAGGAGAAACGCCGTTTATCGGGGAGAGATTCCGGAGTTCGCGTAGACCTCGCCGACTAAGCTCAGGGCAGGTTGATCGGGCTCTCTCCTCCTTCTCTCTCGGGTGCGAGGAGGACGGAGCTCGCGGCAGATGGTGCGAGAGAGAGGCCGAGGCACTTGTCTCTCCCTTCCCGGGTGCAATCGGCGGTGCCGGTGCCGTCTCGTTGCCGGTGCCGCTGCGGCTGCTGCACCGGGGCGAGCACCAGCGCGTCCGCTCGTCCCTCCCGGTCGGCGGGGTCTCTCCGTCTACGCTCTCCGCAGGGCCACCGGCAGATGGCTAGGCCTCTCTTTTGTGCCGCCGAAGTCCCCTCGCTCTCTCGGTCTCTCTCCCCCGAGGGAGCGAGGGGAGAGACCCTTGCCTCTCTCTCTCGCTCCGCATATAGCAGTTAAATTTACTACCCCATATGGCACCCTCGACCATCCGATCCAGGATGGAGCCGAAAAAATCGGGAGGACGAAGGACGCGAATCGCGGATACGGATCCGCGGGATTTCTGAGAGATTTTCATACTTTTTTTTTTTTATCATCCTCCCCTTCCTTCTTTGACGCCCGGAAAGGAAGAGGAAACGAGCCTGGTCGGCGTTAATTAAGGGGCCCCGGTGTACGCGTAATCGTAACCTTCGTCGGGCCCCGAGGGGGGCAGGGGGGTCGCAAGGGGACGCCTCTCGACTCGCGCCTAACGGAATTCCCCTCGTTGACTTGGAAATGCGCCTCTTACGTATTCGCCGTTCTCGCCTGTGCGCGAATCGCTCGCTTGCTCGCGCGCGGATGGAGCCGGATAGAGTCGCGAGGTCGCGAGCGCGACAATGCCGCTCTCTCCGGGTCGTCGAGACATCTCTCTCCCACGGTCTCGCTCGGTCCCCGAAACCCTGGGGCCTTGTTACGAATGGGTGGGGGGGGATCCTCCAGGACCCGAAACGGACCTCCGGGTTGCGGGTGCACCTCCCGAACGGTCCGGTGCTGCCGACTTCAATTTCCCGTCGGAGGGCGGAACGGTTCCCGGAAGCGATCGGACCCGAATTGCGGGCCCTACCGGGGCGATCCGGAGGGTTTCCGCGAAGCGCGCGCACTCTCGCGCAGGGATAAAACGCGCAGCGGAGAAATTGCGACGCTAAGTGGGGCCCGAGATTCGGGGCCCGGGCCCGAGGCGAGTTTCTTGCCGAGGGGTTTCGGGCGCATCTCCTCCGGGGCCCCTCGGCTTTCTTCCGGTAGCGCTCGGCCCGGCAATCCGCGGGGCCCGGTTGCGCCCGACCTCGGGGGAGGGGGCAGGGAGGGAGGAGGGAGGAGGGCCCGAGAGGATCGTGGGATCCCACGGGCGAAAAGTCTGCGTGATTCGCGTCCCAGGCGAGCGGGACCGCGTTCCTGGGACGCGGGGCCCTAGCGGGGCCTCAGCGGGGCCCGAGGGAGGGGGGCGCACGCGGCCGGTGGACGTCGTCGCCCGAGTCCGCGCCGCGCAAACGGATGAATGGCTGACAATGAGCTCTCGGTCGTGCGTTCCCGCCGTGTCCGGCGAAATGTGCGAGCGAGCGAGCGCGAAACGTTTAGCATAAATTACGTCTCTCCCCCCCCCCCCCCCGGGGTCCTTAGGGCCCGCGTATTTTTAGAGTCTCGCCGCCGGCCGCGGGACTCGCCGATCGACCTCTTTCCGACGGGGGCACCCGGGGGTACCCGGGGGTACGACCGGTCTAGCTCGACCGGGCTTTGGGGGGCTCCGTTTCGCTCCCCTTTCCGCGAGGCTCCGATGGAGGGGGCCCCACTTCGGGGCCCGCTAGGCTAGCGTTTATCCCGTTCGAGGTGAGGGAACTGCCCGGACGGTTTTCGGTGCACCGGGATATACGCTCCCTCGTTTTCCTTCCTCTTCTTCTTCTCCTTCTCTTTGGGCCATTTTTCTCGCCTTAACCCCCCCTCTCCCTCTTTACTTCCCCGCTCGGGGCCCGGAAAGTGCGCGAAAGTGATCCCCGACGCGGCTTAGGTGTGGGTGCGGCAAAAAGGACGCACCCACTGACCCGGCGAGAACGCGTCCCGGGGGCCCCCCCGCGTTTTTCCTCGGTGGGACCCGCGGGCCCCCTTTTTCTGGGCCCCGCTCGGGGGTCGGCGCGGAGGCGCGGGACGGTAACGGCGAGTTAACGGTGAAATAGGTTCGCGTCCCGAGGGTCCGGTCTCGTCGATCCGTCTGCCGGCGAGAGCGGGGCCCGAGCGAGACCGCGAAACGGGGGGGGCCCGAGTGCGAGCGAGAGGGCGCATCAGCTGACGCTCCCGATGCTCTCGCTTGCGGACCCCGACTCATCTCTCTCCCTCTCTCTATCTCACGTGCCACGGTCCCCCGGGTACCGACGGCCACCTCGTGCTTCCGGTTCCCCGCGCGGGGCCCGAGGGGCCCCCCGTCCGTCTTCGAGAATTGGCCCGAAACTCCCCACCGCACGTTTCTTATTTTTTTTTTCTCTCTCTCTCTCTCTCTCTCTCTCCATCTCAACCCGAGCCCGCGAAGAAAATCGAGTCTCGGTGGGTCCATTTTGCTTAGTACTCCCGCGAACGCGTGTCTCGTATTCGAGGGCGAATTCTCTCTCTCTCTCTAGTTGGCACGGATCGCCGGGAGATTCGCGGAACCGAAAGCGGGGCGATCGTAAACGCGCACGCGGAATCGGGGGGTTGGCATATATCGTTGACAAAATCGGCCGCCTCGTAATTCCCGTCTCGCGGCCTCGGTTTCCGCCTCTCCGGAAAAGACGCGATACGTCGCCGTTTCTGTTTTCTTCTCCCGCTTTTCCCTCCCGTCGTTCCTTCCCGGCGCTTCGGACGGTCGGGCCGCAAAAAGGCGCATCAGCTTAAAAGGGGGCGAGTCCGACGGTCGCTTTGAAATAAGAGGAGAGCTCTTCACCTTGCCTCCCCCCCTGCCCCGTCCAGGCGACGTCGGCGACGCCGGGCGTCGTCGGGGCTCCCGACTCTCGTTCGCCTCGGAGGCTCCGGGCCCGAGATTTATAGCGGGCGTTCCGGGACCCTCGATGACGTTTACGCGGTCGCGGTTATCGTCCTCCTTCCGTCGCGGCGTCCCTCCCTCTCCAGCTCTCTCCGGGAAGCGGGACTTTTGGGGGAAAAATCGACGTCCCTCGTATATAGGATGATTAATACGTGCATACGATCCGTGATTGCGGGTCCGAGGGCCCCGGCCCGGCCCGTGCGCGCGCACCGCGAACGAGAGGAGAGAGAGGACGAGGGACGGAGGGGGGGGGGGCGGAGAAAGTGAGAGAACGGCGGAGGGCCGAGGGAGAGAGAGAGGAGCGAAGGGAGGGCGGACAAGAAACGCCGGGAGGACGCGAGAAGGAGAGCGACGGAAAATGGAAGAGGGAAAGAGGCGAGAGGAGGAGAGGAGAGGAGAGGAGAGGAGAGAGAGGCGGAGGTATGCCGCGCAGCCGTGGGAACCGACTGCCGAGCGCGCTCTCCGTCTCTCTCTCCCTTCCGCGGCCTCGCGCTCCCTCTCGCTCCCTCCCTCGCGGCTCTATTCATTCTCCTCTTCCTTTTCATCGTCCGGCCGCCCTCCCTCCCCTCCCCTCCCCCCTCCCCTCCCAACCGTCCGTCTCACTCCCTCTCTCGTTTTCGCTCGCCTCTTCCGTCTCTCTTTCCTCTCTCGGTTTCTCCGGTTCCCTCGGTCTCATCGCTGGCGCGCACCTCGGCTCCCCCCTGCCCCTCCCCCCCGGGCGGGCCCGACGAGCCGCGCCGAGACCGGCCGGGCCCGGCCGCGATCTCTCGACTGCCCCGGCCGAAACACACCCTACATTGTTCCCCGGATGCCGGGGCTTTTTCACCGTTTTTGTCGGCTTAATTCCAATCTCTGTAATAAATTAGCGGCCGATCACGGTGGGCATTTGTCTCCACCCGGGATTTATGTCCCGGGGTCCCGAGTCGTTCTTTCCGCCTGGCGAGGGTCCCCGCGGCACCCGGGGAAGAGGCCCCTCTCCTGGGTGCCCGTCTCCCTCCCGTATGGGGGGAGATATCGCCCCGAGATAGGGCCCCCGGGAGGCTCGACTTTTAACGCCGGCCTCGACCGGTCGCGCCTTTATTATTCATCGGCCGCGGCGTGTCGCGTTAATTATTAATCGCTCCGTCGGCGCGACCGGAGCCCCGGGGGTCGCGATTATTCCTCCTCGTAAATGATTCATGAACGTCGAGCGGTGGTACATTTTTTTTCTCTCTCTACCCTTTTCGCAAGGATTTTTCCGGGATTTTCCTACCGCTTCGATCGAGCTAGTTTCCCCGGATCTGATTTTCTGACCGGCGTTTTATCGTCGCGACTTATCGCGCCTCCAAGCGGCCCTGACCCCCGCTCGGGGGGAGATGGCGCCACTCGGCCCGGGAAATATCTCGTTGTAGTTAATTACTTCTTCCCCCTCCGCTCCCCGTCGACCGGTTCCCCGCCATCCGGCCCAATTTTATCCACCGGTGGCCGCGGTTTTCCCCGTCACTGGCCGGCCCTTTTCTCGCGCCTCGCCATTAGCCGCCTGTCCTCCTTCCGCGGCGGGTCGCTCCTCTCTCTCCTACTCTTTCTCTCTCTCTCTTGCCATTAGCGCGCGGCGGCAGGTAACGCGCCGACACCGACACCGGGTGCGGAACGACCGCCACCGGCCGCCGCTGACTCGGCGAAACGGCAGGTCGGATACCTGGGGGGGGGGGAGGGGGGACAGGAGGGGGCAGTCTCGAGGGCACCGACGATACCTATCATCAGGAATTCGTTCCCTTCGCCATTGACCGCCGGCGGCGGATACGCGACACCCCCCTCCGCGTTTCTTCTATTTTCTTTTTTTACCCTTCCTCCGTTTAACGGCGAGATTTACAAAAATTCCAATTTCATTATTTCCGCGTCGAGTCCTCAGATTTCGCATGCCACGCGGAATAGTGGCATGCCGCGCGGGGTGTCCGGTCTTGCGTCTCGTTTTGCCGGTTGGCCGCATCGGGAGCGTATCGATCGCGATTACAAACCGCGGTGGACGCGCGACGCGGTCTCGGCTTTTATCGGAGGTTAGGTCGGGCCCCGACTCGCGACCTCGGCGGGGTCCGTTTTCTTTCTCCTTTTTTTTTTTCGTTTTCTTTCGTTTTTTTCCCCGCTCGGGACACGCGCGGCCCGCCCGGAAAAAACGCGGCCACATGTCGCTCGGTGCCCGCGTCGCGCACACGTGCGCCGAGGGTGCCCCCCCTGCCGCCCTTCCAGGGGGAGGGGGCACCGCACGTGCACCTCGCGATTCTAATTGAGGGGCGAGCCGGGAAATGGGGCACTTTATGCGCCGCACGTGCCCGTTACGGGCGCGTTTTCCCGCGGGGATGGCCGAGTTCCGATGGTGCGGTCCATATTTCGAGGCGCCGGGTTTATTAATCGCCGTGGGATATATCGGGCATTGAGGGTGATCGTTTATTGGAGAGGGGTAGGTTGACAAATTTCGTTGTATCCTGATATGCCGTTTGATACGTTTATTAGAAGAAAAAAAAAAAAAAATGCGAGGTTCATTTAGAGTAACGCGACGTTGATCCGGAATACCTGCGCTCCATGGCTCGTGCCACCCGACCTGCCCCCCTTTGCCGCCAGGTGTACGTCCGCGCACCCCTTTTCGGAGCGTTTAATTTATTATTAATTGCCCGCGCGCGCGCGGGCAGCTGCCGGTACCTTTGCACGCGCCGAGCCTCCCCTCGGACGTAGAGGAGACACCCCTCCAGGTCCCGGTAACCCATCCCTTCCGCGAACTCCTTGAAACGCTTCCCGACCGGGCTCGGGTCCATCGGAACCCAATCTGCGATCCCGAAAACCGAGAGCCCCCGATCTCGCGTTACCTTCCGCTTCCGGCGGGCCCCGTCGAAGGAGAAAAAGGGGGGCTCGGTTGAGGAGGAAGCGAGCCTTTCCGAGCGAGGCGAAGGGACCCAACTTTTGTACCTCGCGGATACGTTTATGTCGGCGCCCGTTGTCATCCTTATCGGCGGAAAGTACCCGAGGGAGATGGGAATCGGGTCCTCGGATATCGGAGAACGGCGAGACGCGGCGAGGGAGAGAGACGGACGATGATCTTAATGGTTCTTTCTCATTTTCCAGGGCACCTTCTCGCTGATCGTCGAGGCGTACCACGACGCGAACGACACGACGCACCACTCTCCGGGTAAGTGCGGCACCTTGGCCCCCGCGAGGGGCCCTTTATCGGTTAAGGCCGCGCTGGCGGGTCCCCCCGTCTCCCCCTTCCTCGGGGACCTATAACGAGGCGAGGCATGTGCGGACCAGCTGGCCCAGGACTCGGGATTCGGGCCCGAGTCAGCCAAGAAGCCACTTCCGGCCGCACGCGACACTACCCAGATACGGAACGACGCCGCCACCTTCGGGCCCCTCCCCCCAGGACGGATGCGCTCTACGGGGTGCTCGAGAAAAAAGATGGGAAAAAGCGAATCCTCGCGATACCTGCGGACTCCAGGGGTCGAGACGACGATTTTTCTCGGGGGGACCGGGAGACAGGTGCACGAGGAAACGCAGGTGATCTTGGTCCCGATCTTGCTGTTATGCGAAATGGGGGGTACCAGATCGAGACCGATTTTTCCTCGTCATCGGACAGGTGTAGGGGGGGATTTCCGCCGCCCCGAGATTTATCGCCACTCTTCCCCCCTATTGTTTTTTTTTTTTTCTAAGTTTGATCCATCCACTCGGAGGAGGATCTCTCCCGTTTCGAGCACCCCGTTTAGAGGGCAACCGAGAGTGGGCCCTCTCCTCGCCTTGTAAACGCTCCTTCTTCCGGGCTCTCTCGTTCCCGACCTTCCCGGAACGTATCACCGTAAACTTACCGTACACGAAGGGGAGGCTAATGCGTGGCCGGGTTACGACTCACCGAGGCTGCTGTTACCGCGTAGACCCCCGTCATTAGGGGGAACCGGGGAGGAGGTGGGAAGGGGGAGGGGGCGACTGCTGCGAATTTTCGGCAACCTGCGTCGAGGCTGCGACCTCGTCCCTCGGTCTACCCTCCTCTTTACCTTTCCTTCTCAGACCTTAACCTTGCTCCGCCCTGTAGCGTGACCGGCCCCTACACATCTTCCCTCGTATCTCCGTCTCTTGGGGCCCGATTTTTGGGCCTCGCCGAGGCCCCTCGGTCTGTTTACTCGGTCGAGCCTCGGGAAGAAAATTGTCATTTTTCGATTATTCTCATAAATTCTCTCCCGGGTAGTTTTCGCAATTTTCGCGATTTTCATGATTTCTGTGATTTTCACGATTTTCGTTCACGCGTCTCGATAATTTTTTACTAGCCGAGGCTTGGGAAATATTTCGGCCGAGTGTTCTCGCCAGTCTCGTCTCGTTCACTCTCTCTCGATTTTGTGCTTTTCTCCCTTCCGGTTTTGGAAAAAAAAAAAAAAAAAAAATTTCCGGGCTCCCTCCTAGTACCGTCCCGAGGTGTGACCACCCCGGTAGCGGCGTAACGCGCGTTACGTTGGTTACGCGAGTCGCGCACCGAGAGCGGGGACCGCTCCGTGGACCCTGGGGGAGAGGGGCACCAGGGTTCCCTTCCTATGTAACCGTATAGTCGACCGCCTTCCACGGTCCGTAACTCGACACCCCCGCAGGAAGGAGGGGGACCGTCCCGTTTTCGTCCGGTCCGGCATGGCGGAAACGCGAACCCCCGACGTAGAGAGGAAGGGGGGCTCGAAAATGGTCGGAATCGTGGAAATCGAAAACTCGGGAGGATGGAGGGATTTTCTCATTTTCTTTTTCTCTTCCGAAAATCCCCCGAAACGATTCGCAATGGCCCGAGCCGTTTACAGGGCGAGACGACGATCGACGATCCACGTTGGGGGGACGGGTCGGGCCCCATTGTCTCCCGGACAAAGCCTCCGCGGAAATCCAACGACGCCTCGCCGCGGTGTCATTACGATCCGACCCAGTTACCAATTATCGGTCGCGGAAGAGGAAGCGCGCGGTTCACACGGCCGCCTCGCTTCCCCTCCCGTCGCTCCTCTTCCTCTCGACGCGGCGACGATAACAGGGGTGTCGCATCGCCGCGCGACACCTACGCCAGCCGGTCCCACGAGTCGACCCGATCGGGCCCTTCCGGGCCCCTCGCTTATCTCCAGTCGTCCTGGAACGACATCGAGACCCGGAATCCGCGAAAACCCGGGCCCCTTTGGGGAACCTCCGGAGGAGAGAGAACAAGGGGCCGCCTATTTTTCCGAACGATTTTAATCCCGAGTCGGCGCGGTCGCTCCGGGGTTACGTAAAAAGGAAAGAGAGGAAAAGAGGAGACGGGCAAGGGGGCAGGAGGGAGAGGAGAAAAAACTGCTGGGAACGGAGGCGCCTCGCGAACGACGCGGTCGTGCCCTTGGCATAGAGACCGCGGCCGCGACTCTCCGTCGGCGTCGTCGCCGCCATCTTGAATCCCCGTAGATGGGCCCTGTACGCCGTCCCCGCGATTATTGGGACGGTTATCACCGTTCGGACCGTTTAATCGGTCGCCCCGGAAGAGAAGGAGGCTCCGAGGAGTCGCCTGCCGAGCCTCCGGCCGGTTCGCGATCTCACGCCCGGTGGAGGGGAAGTTATTAATCGACTCATTGGCGCGGTACGGCCGCGCGAGGTTTAGTAAGCAAATAGGGGGAGGCCCCGAGGCAGTGGCGACGGCGATCCCGATTCCGGTCCCTCCCCGCACCCTCCGCGGGCCCATTCGGGTCGATCGACTCTCGTTTGTTGCTCCTATTCTCGATTTCACAAATGACAAGCGGCTCCTCCGGCCGACGACCGTGGGGAATTCTCGGTAGCCTGCGTATCATCCAGCCGGTTCCGTCCCCGGTCGCGTCTACATATGTCCGGCTGGTACATGCACTCGCGCATTTACATCACCCCGGTCGCGCGTTATGTATTGCGCGTAAGCGAGGAGTTATAATACGCTCACCGCGATATGAAGTCATCGAAGCCCCCCGCCGGTTCCCATGCCTGGGGAATTGTCCTCGCGAGGACCGAGATTCGAGTCGCCTCGATCCGCTCGAGTTCATCTCTGACGCGGTTCTCCACCCCGACATTCGTAATTGGCGCCGTTTCCCCCGATGGTACGCGGTTTCGGGAACGGGGAGTCGGTCGGGCCTAATATCCGCGTTAAGGCCCAGCATCCCGGTCCAGCGGGCCCCTCGGGCCCCTCGCTTCCGTTCTCTCCTCCCCTTGTCCGCCCCCTCCCTTCCCGGGGAGTAATACACACGCGAGAGCGCCGGCGGAACGAGCCCTTTATTGCCTACCTCCACTCGGAGGATGCTTCCTTTCTCAGGCACCATCTCGCCCCCTCGAGAAGGTGGAGGCGCACCCTCCACCCGCGGTGCACCTGTGACCCTGAGACTCGCGAACCTGGCACCTCCTCGTCCTTTGGACCTCCACCCTGCTCGGATCAGGAGGGTTGGCCCATCTCGAGGGCAATTTCTCGTTGCCGAGACGGGGATGGCGATTTTTTTTTTTTTTTCCTTATGTCCACGGAGAGACGTTCTCTCGGGTGGTCGGCTCGTTGCGGCCGTTTATCCGGGAGCCGGGATCGCGGAGACGCGAGCGGAGCGGGAATAGGAATGCGCCGGTCCCTTATGCGAGGTCGAGGAAATTCACGGGGAGGGTTTCGCGGTTCTTCGATAAGGATAGGGAAGGAGGGTGCGACGATATCGCGCGGCCGGTCCACGGAGGGGGCCCATCTGTCGCGCCCCGGAAATCCCGGAGTCGGGCCCCACGGGGGCGCGGGCTACTCTTTTCGACGACTGCGACCCCTTAAGTGCGGATAATGCCCGGGCGCGGAACGGCCGCACTCCGCCGGGGACGATTTGGGGCCCGTCGGTGGTCGGGCCCGGTATGGTGTATAATAGCGGTAGAGAAGGGAACCTCGCGGCACCTGCGCGGACCTCGGGGGCCTCGGACCCCCTCCCCTCCACCCCCCGTCGGACCCCGCTGTGCCCTCTCGGGGTGGACTCTTCCCTTCCGAGAAGACGCCCGTTTCTCTCTCCCGACTTTTTTACTCGTCCTAGGGGCCCCGACGTTATTTTGCTCAGTTTTCGACCGTCCAGCACGCCACGGCCCCTCCCCCCGCTCCCTCCCGAAAACGGGTTCCACCGAGATATCTCGCCTCCCTTGGGCCCCGCCGAGGGGCCCGAACTCGGCTGGGCCCCCCTGGCTAAAGAGGAACTCCGATTTTCCTTTCCCTTCGGGAGGTCGATCTTCCCCGAGAGGGTACCCTTAACGGGGACTCCGCGTTCTCCTTCTCCGTTGGGCCCTCTCCCCCGTTCCCGGGAGGAATCGTAACGGGCGGCCCTAATCGAGCGGCGATTACCCGTAATGCTCGGAAGGCCGTAAGCGGGAGAGCTTCCAACCCTCTCGCGGGCCCTTCTGCCGGGATTAGAAGGGGGCCGAAGGGGGGGCCCCGATTCCCAGAGAGGCCCTCTCCCTTTCGTTGGTCTCTTTGTGCCGGATGCTCGCCCTCGGCGAGAGTAGGCCGGGAGCCCGGGCGCAACCTGTGCCGTGGGGCCCTAGGGCCCTAGGATACCCTCCTCCCTCTTAATCGACGCCCATCTCCTGGAGTCGCTCCTAAGGTGGAGGAGAAGGAAAAAAAAAATCGAAATACATGAAAAAGAGAATGGAAAAATAATTTGCATACGCAATATCCGGCGGGGCGTTCGCACGAGCGGAAGGGAAAATAGCTGACGCCGCGGGGTGACGGAAATTCATGGGGAGATTAATTTATGGTTACGACGTTATGTAGGTTTTCTTGCGTGGCGGTGTTCTCAATGGTGGATCTTTTCTTTTTCTTGGTTACAGAGAAGGTCCTTATCACCAGACTGACGACCCAGCGGTGGCTGGACGTGGGGCCCACGTGGGTAGAGGACGAGCACCGTAGCGCCCATTCGCTTATGGTGTACGAGTACAGGGTGACGTGCGTCGCCCATTACTATGGAAAGGGATGCGAGAACCTCTGCAGGCCTCGAGACGACGGGTTCGGACACTACAGCTGCAGCCCCACCGGCGAGAGGGTCTGCCTGTCCGGGTGGAAGGACGACTACTGTGCCACTCGTGAGTATCTTCGGAAATGTGCTCTTCAGGATCTCGAAATCCTTCCTACCCGGAGAAAAGAAATTCTATCGTACCAAAGAAATATCTTGGTAATTCGAAGAGTTTTTCTTACTTCTCCCAAAAATAATCTCGAAAATAATTTCTTGATGTTTATTCGAGGGGTTCTTCTTCTTTTTTTTTTTTTTAATCAACAAATTATTTCTTTGGTTCGGGGAATTCTTTTTTCTTTTTCTCGGAGGCGGAGGACATTGAGCGCGTTTGGATGGAGGAAAAAAAAAAATGAAATTGTGTCGGAAGCGACGCACTCGGTTTTAAGTACTTCTCGTCGGTTTCCCCGTCCCGACGACGTCCGACGCCGACGGTGACGTGGAAAGAGAGCGGTGCATCTCGGCGCAACTTCCCACGCTTCGTACGCGTGCGCGATCCTCTCTCCCCGTCTCGCTCTCCCTCTCGCTGGGACCGGTCCGATCGCTCCGTCTCCCTCTGGTCGGTCCGCCGGTCCTTGTCCCTCTTTTTATAGCCGGCATCCGTGTGCCCTCTCCGTCCTCCCTTCGCTGCTCACCTGAGCGCGAGCCGGGGCCCCCAAGGGAGAGAGAGGGCCCCGGGCCAGCGAGAGAGGGAGAGAGAAGGAGATACCGAGGACCGCCGCGTACGCACGTCCCGTGGCTTACGCGGAACGCACACGCGAAGCAGAAACCTGCTTTACCTAGGCTACTCGCCGTTTCTCTCGCTCCTTCTCCCTCCTTCTCTCTCTCTCTCGCTCGCCGAGGCATTTTCGAGTTTGAGGGAGGGAAAAACGAGGCACAAGAACGGGAATTCTCGCCGATGCATCGTTCCACTTGTCTCTCCGGCTCTCCTCCGATCTCCTCTCCCCTCTCTCCCTCGTTATCACGGACTCGCCCTATCCGACGAAATCCCGGGGGACAATCCGCAGGTGCATCTCGGTACACCCTCCCGTCATGGCTCGGGGATTCCCTCGAAAGCGCGCGATTCGATTCAGCGAAGGGTTAACGACTGATTACCCCCCACCTCGCCTCCGGGCCCGACAAATCGCGTGACACTTCCGCTTGCGTGCGCTACCGGCGAGCCTCGCAAATTGAATTCCCCTCCCGGGCCTCTTTCGATCTCGTACCGAGGAGAGTCGAGCGAGGCGAGGCGGGACCAGGCCCAGAGTCCAGGTCGCCTGGACGATGGGTGTCACTGGGTCGCGTCCTTCGGGCGTGATTTTCTAGGGACTTGCGACTCATTTTTCCGCCTACCCGGGGCCGGGGTAATTTTTTCCAGCGAACGGACCACGGTCCCCGATTTTTTGGGCCCGGTCTATCGGCGGGAAAAGGGTTGCTCGGGCCCCGGTTAGGGGTTCGCCGGGGCAACTCGCAGCTGCTCCGCGCGGCCGCGTTGCCGGTCGGGCCCAGCTGCCGCCGCTCGGTGCTTTAACCAACAGCTGCGGCTCGCTTCGGCGCTCGCAGTCGAGGCCCGACCGGGCCCACCCCTGGGGCCCCTCCCCGTCGCGCCGGCGGTCAGCCGAGAGGAAAAGAGGGAGGGAAAACGCGTCCTCCGATGGTTACCCGAGTTCCAGGGCCCGTTTCGTCCCGGTTAGGTAAACGAGGCCCCTTAGAGCCTCGCCGAGGAAGAGTCGCCGCGGAAGGCCCCGACCTGGGGCCAGTCCCAAACGGGGGGAAGATCGCGGCGGTTGACAATGACGGGAACCGAGAAGAATCGCGACCGTTGCGCGGCCTTGGGGCGGGTTTAAAGGGAAGAAGCGACATCCGGGGGCGCGTGGTCAGGTTTTTAAAGGGACCGATCCCCTCGCCCTTCCTCGGAGGGAGAAGAAAGGCCAGAAGCCAGTTTCCCCGTCTTGCGGACACCCCTCTAGCCGTCCCTTCGACGCCATTCCGCGATAATCGACGGGCCCGAAAACGCGAGGTCGCACCTGCGACTTCCTTTCATCTTCCCTCCTTCTCCCCTGCGCCTTTCCCGGACTTCTGGGGATCGATTTGTTTACCCGAGATCTCGCATTCGAGACCCCGGGGGATGAGCCATCCCTGGCCATCCGCGCGTTTCTTCTCGCGTCCTTTATCTCTCCTCCTCGTCCCCTCCGGTCCGTGGAATCCAGGAGACCGGGAGAGATCCCGCTTTCGCTGGAGTCCCGGCGTTCCTCCTCCGGCACTCGTGCCGTATAAATACCATCCACCGCCATTCCTCGCTTCCCCTTCTTCCCCCGCCATCTTGCCAAGGCTGCGCACCCGGAGCCTCCCACCGCCCACCGCGAGCCACCCTCCCGCGACTAGAACCACGCCGGGTCCGCTTTCCTCGCGGCGTGACTCACGCGCGGCTTGTCCGCGAATTCCGATCCCGCGAACCGGAGTCCTCGCGGTCCGAGTCCGCGGACACTTTTGCCCGGGCCTCTTCCTTGGTTTCCAAACCGAGGATATATATATATTTTTTTTTTCCTTACTTTTCTTCAATTCAACGCAATCGCCGCAAGGCCGCGCGGCTCTCGTAGGTACGCGCACGTAACGCAATGGCCGCGAGCCAGCCGCGAGCCATCGAGGTATTTGCGGACTGGACAAGCTGCGCCTCGAGACCCGCGACACAATTTCATTCTCCGTCGGCCGCGATGTGGCACTTTTCCTCGGCGATCGAAATCGAAGGGCCCCCTTCTTCCCTCCGAGCGCCGCCATCTTGGATCTCGCGCGTCCCCGCAAGGAGAGTTGCCTTAACCTTTGGATTTTTTCTCTTTCTCGTTTCAGCTCGCTGCCTGCCCGGATGCGACGAGCAGCACGGACACTGCAGTCGGCCCAACGAATGCCTGTGAGTATATACCTGGTGCGCACCTGTGCACGCACCCGCACGTACACGCGCCCGACGCGAGCGTCCCGATTTTAATCGGCACCGTCCTAGTCGATGGAAATAACTCGCGGATGCTTTGCTTCGTCTCTCGACATTCGTCTCTTTTTCTCTCTCTCCGTCTTTCCTTCTTTTTTTTTTTATCTAAATTTCGAAAGTCGCGGATTTTCCGCGGCGCGCGGAATCGGCTGCGTTCACGTCCGTTCGTGTGTCTCGGCGTAAAAATGCGGACGGAGAAGGGGGGAGGGAGGACCCCTCGGGTCCTTGGAAATTCAATGAATGAAACGAAACTCGGCTCTCCCCTCTTCTCCTCGTTGGCACACTCTCGCCCTCGCGGGACTCGCGATTTCCCCCGGGAAACCGACTTGACCGTGACTGAGCGACGCTCGTACCGGCTCCTCTCTCTCTCTCTCTCTCTTTCCCTCCCTCTTTTCCCCCGTGGGCTCTCTTTCTCCTCGCCGAGAACAGAGGGATATTAATAAACGTCGATCACGGCGCCGTCCGCGCCCCGGGTGTAAAGCCCACTCGAGCGGGAAGGACGCGAGACCCGCGTCGCTCCTTCCCGCCCCGACGGTCCTCCGATCGGTTGCATAACCGGGGATCGCCTAGCGCCCTCTCTCTCTTACCCATGCGCCGCCCGGTAGCGCGGTCTCGCTCGCACTCACGGCGGATCGGACTTTCGCGGTTTTTCCGCCTCCCCTTGGGAAACCGGGCTGACGTGGGCGATCGGCTACCTTCGTCTTCTCCTCTTTCTTCCCGCGGAGGTAACTACAAGTCGTCGCGATAAATCGTCACCGTTAATCCGGGCAGATCGATCTCACGCGTGGACGACCCGCCGTATCATCGACTTGACGTGTAATCGTGTATCGCGTATCGCGGGAGAAAACTGGATTCCCTTAACGACTATTTTTTATTAAATTTTTTTTTTTCCTTTTACTTCACTTTACTCGAAAGCGAAATCTCGAGTAAACGGCGAGCAGCTCCCTCTCGTCCGGGTATATCTACCGCATAGGGAGGAATCTGCGTTTCGGCCGTCGGGATTCCTTGGGGAACCCTCCCCCTCCCGGGTCCGAGGTGCATCGATACATCGATCCGCGACCCCCCCTCCTCCTTCCGCTTCTTCCTCTCCCTCTTTCCTCTGGATCGAGGCGCCGAATTGTTATTCCGCTGTCAACGAGTTCGACGAATCGCTCTCGCGTCCCCGTCTCGGCGGCGTCGCGGCGCCGGTCGACGATCGCGATTACGCGTACAACAGAGGGGGGAGGGGAGGCGTCGTCTCATCGGGAACGAAGTCGCTTTCGCACGCTCCCGTCGAGACGATTTCCCGACGTCGGGAAAAAATCCCGCGACTGGATTCGAAAAATTTCTATTGTCTTTTTTTTTATCTTTTTTTTTTCTATTTCCCTAATTCACTCTCCCGACTAACCGCGACTCGTCGGTCGCTTTATCGGCGCTCTGTCCCGTGCGTGCGTTTCGCGATTTCGCGATTTAGCGTAACGGGGAATAAGCCCCGGGATCCCACGGGATTTTACGATGCGAAACCCAGCGCCGGTGCAATCCGATGGGGTTAATTAGATGCAACGCTCCGGATGCACGTTCGGTCGGCGGCAATTTTCGACGCGGTCGCGGTCCCTCGGACTATATTAATCGTTATCTCCTTTATTTTTTTTTCTCCTTTTTCTTATTTTCTTCCCCCCCTCCATTGATATTTCTCGCCTCTTACAAGAGCCGTCTCTTATAGCAGACTGAGTAATAAAATCCCCGCCGTTTTAATTACCTCACGTCACGTTAAAAACGGCGGCAACTTCTCGACTTGATACTTGTTAAAAAAAAAAAAAAATTTTTATTTCCCATTTATCGCGACTCGCGAAGAGAGCCCAAGTTCTCGGGACCTGGACCGCGGGCGTCGCGACGTCCCCGGTGCGACGAATCTCGGCTTCCCCGCCGTTAACCCTCGGGTTTGGAGTCAACTCGATCATCCAATTACTCCACGGCCGGGGTTAATTGGCCCGTTAGCTGGCAGGCCCGAGTCGCCTCTCTCTCTCTCTCTCTCTCTCTCTCTCTCTCCCTTTTTTCGCTTTTTTTCTGCCTTCCTCTGCTCTCCCTCGCCCTCTCCTCTCCCCACGGCGGCTGGGGGCCGTCCTGTTCCCTCTTGCCCTCCCCGAGGGTCATCGTCGCGCTTTTCATCGGGCCGCTTCTCGTCTTCCTCCATCTCGCGTCCTTCGAGGAAGTCGCTTCCGGACATGCCGGAAGAACGCGAATAGAGATCGAAACTCGTTTCCACGGACGTGTCGCGCGACATTTCGGGCCGACCTCCTCGGAGATCGAGGTGTGCGGATAAATCGATCCACGGATTTATATATATATATATCGATCTCCTCGGAGGCAATAACCCCTCCCCCCCCGACGGCGGGGGCCCTCACGTATCGCGCGGACGCGCGTACAGGTATCGCCGATAATATCGTGAGAAGCGGAACTCGCAAACGGAAAACGAGTAGTCGTTTGTCCGTCGATGAACGGGAGAGAGAGAGAGAGAGAGAGAGGGAAAGGGGAGGGGGCATCCGCGGCCGCGTGGATGTACGCGAGAGGGAGAGCCCGAGTCGAAGATCGGAGGAGAGAGAAATCAAGAGAGAGAGAGAGAGACGGGGGAAGGCAGCGGCGGAGTCGCGGCCCGATACGCACCGGGGCGCGTCGCGACGCCGCGACAAAGTCGCCGGGGCCGTGGGACCCGGTCGCGCGTCGGCCCGGTTCGAGGGCCGGCGGGAATCGCAGAATAGGCCCGATCGAAATTTCGGAGTCCAGGGCCGAGCGGCGGCCGTGCGCCGACTGAATACCGAGCCGGGTCCGAGTGCACCCAGTGGCGGAGGCCAGGGACCGCGAGGAGGTCCCTCGGTCGGGTCCTCCCGGGTCGGCGGACGAGGCGCCAATGCGGGCACCCGGCGCGAGTTCGGACCCGGCTCGATTCGAAGCGGCCGTGTGCGCGCGCACTCGGCTCGCGGGCTCCCCTCCGCGGATTCGGACCTAGGATCATAGGCGTAGGGGCAGCCGGAACCGACGGGCCTCGGGCGACTACGGGCTACGTTCGCGCCGGGCGCTCTCCGGCGCTCCTCCTGCGGCGGTGTCGGTGAGCCGGAGCGAGGCGCGCGCGCGCGCGGGCGCGCGCACACACACACGGAGGAGCGTAACCTTTCCTTGACCCGCATACTGAACGGCTGTGCCGAGGCTCGAACCGTGGGAACACTACTCGACGACGAGTCCCCACTCCGCTCCCCTCCCCTCGGCCCCGCGGGAGAGGGGCCCGACTCGGCTCTCGGCGCGCCCCCTCTCCCCCCGCCCCGCGACGACGCAACGCTCGGCCGCATCCTCTCCCCTTTTGCCCACCTTCTCTCTCTCTCTCTCTCTCTCTCGCTCTCTCCGCGGCCTTTATCCGCCAAAGCGTATCCCGTGTCGCGCGCCCCTTTGTCTCGCGCGCGGCCCGGGCCCTCTTCCGCCGACCCATTGAGCGGCGGCCGCGTCGCGGATCGCCCTTATCGGCCGCATCGTGGGAAGGGCCGCGCAAGGTCGATCGCCGGGGACATTCGACTGACGGGACCCTCTCGCCCTTCCTGTTGCAGGTGCCACAACGGCTGGACGGGGGCCTTCTGCGACCAGTGCGTGCGGTACCCCGGGTGCCTCCACGGTAGCTGCCAGAAGCCCTGGGAGTGCCTCTGCGACGAGGGCTGGGGCGGCCTCTTCTGCAACCAGGACCTCAACTACTGCACGAACCACAAGCCCTGCCTGAACGGCGGCACCTGCTTCAACACCGGCCAGGGCTCGTACACCTGCTCCTGCGCGCCCGGCTTCACCGGCGCCGAGTGCCAGACCCCGCTCGTCGACTGCCACTCCAGGCCCTGCCTGAACGGCGGCGCCTGCGCCCCGGAGTCGCGTCGCCACGCCAACGCCACCGCCGTCGCCGCCGCCGGCTACCGGTGCACCTGCCCGCCCGGGTGGCGCGGCCGCCACTGCGAGGTCAGCACCAGGTCCTGCCGCGACTCCCCCTGCCGCCGGGGCGCGACCTGCGAGGACGACGCCCTGAAGGGGTACGCCTGCCGCTGCCCTCCCGGGTACTCCGGCCCCGACTGCGAGACCCGGGTCGACGACTGCGCGCCCAACCCCTGCGCCAACGGCGGCACCTGCTCGACCAGGCCCGACGGATTCCGCTGCACCTGCCCCGCCGGCTTCACCGGCGAGCGGTGCGACGTCGACGTCGACGACTGCCGCAGCGATCCCTGCCTGAACGGCGCGACCTGCGTCGACCTGGTCGACCGGTTCCGCTGCCAGTGCGTCCCCGGCTTCGTCGGCGCCCTGTGCCAGGACAAGGTCGACTACTGCCTCGCCAAGCCCTGCGCCAACGGCGGCAGGTGCACCTCCGGGACCAACGACTACGAGTGCGAGTGCCGGCCCGGGTTCACCGGCAAGGACTGCAGCGTCGACGTCGACGAGTGCCGTAGCGCGCCCTGCCGGAACGGCGGCACCTGTCGGAACCGCGTCAACGGGTTCACCTGCGAGTGCCCGCGCAGCTGGCGCGGCGAGATCTGCGCCGAGGAGGCCCGCGGCCCGGTCGCCGCGGCCGCGCCGCCCTCCGGCGCCAGCTACTGGTCCGGCAACCTCTCCCGGCACGTCGCCTCCGAGGCCGGCGCCGCCGGGCTCACCACCGAGCACGTCGTCGTCATCGCCACCCTCTCGACGGCGGTCCCGGCCTTCGTCCTGGTGGCCGCGGTCGCGGTCATGTGTATGAAGCGCCGCCAGAAGCGCGAGCAGGCCAAGGCGGACGAGGAGGCGCGACTGCAGAACGAGCGGAATGCCGTGCACAGTAGTCTCGGGAAACGCGGCGCCCTGGGCGCGCTGGGCGGCCTGGGCGGGCTGGGCGGACTGGCCGCCCTGGGCGGCTCCGCCGCCGCCCCCGGCGGTCCCGGCGGCGCCGGCCCCGCCGGCCCCGGCGACCCCCACATGATCAAGAACACCTGGGCGGCCAACAAGAGCGTCAACAACGCGCCCGCCAGAGACGACCTGGACTGCTCCTTCTCCTCGGGCGACGCCCTCGACGCCGGTGGCGGCGGCGGCGGCTACAAGCCCGAGCCCGTCGTTCAGGACGGCAGACCGCGCGCCACGAAACAGCTCAACACCGACGCCGCCGCCCACAGGGCGTCGCATCTCTACCAGAAGGAGAAGGACTGCGGCCTCGGGGTCGGCGTCGGGATCGGGATCGGCATCAGCGTCGGCGTCGGCGTCCTCGACGCCAAGCGGTCGTCCGTCTTCGCCGGCGGCGACTCGTGTTGCGGGGAGGCGGCCCTCCTGAAGAGGCCCGCCATCGCCGAGGGCCCCGGCAGCGGCCCCGGCGCCGAGAGCGGGTGCGGCGTCTACGTCATAGACGACCACTACAGACACGACGCCTCGCTCGCCGCGACGCTCGCCACGGAGGTCTAGGGACTACGGTATACAGATAGAGATGATATATATGTGTACGCGTATGCAGCTGTGCGTACGTGCCGTATGTGTGCGCGCGTGGGTGTATATATATACGTGAGCGCGGACGAGGTCGGCGGCGACGGGGAGGGTCCCGCCGAGGCGCGCCGCGCGGAGGCCCTTGGAGACGTCCTCGCAGCGCGGCGGCCCTCGCCGGGCCCTACCCCCACCCTCCCCCCACCTAGCTGTATTAATATTCTATGCCGTGCTCGAAGCATCTTGTACAGAACTAATTTATTATTATTGTTATTTACTCCTACCTAGGATTGCTATTATTAATATTATTATTAATATTACCACGCTATGTCGCATTATCATTGTTCCATTAATTTGCCGATTGTGTAACCGACTCCGAGCGTGGACGAGCAAGAGGGAGTGAGTGTCCGAGTGCGCGCGCGTGTGTGTATGCGTATCCGTTCGTATGTGTGCGGGGGTGGACCCGCGTGGGTGCGCGTCCGGCGAGCGCCGTCGTCTCGGCGCGTGCGACGCCTCGACGTCCCCGACGCCGGTTTCGCAACGGCGAGGACCAACGGAGAGGCGGCCGCGCGCGCCGGTCCTCGAGGAGGCGGCGAGAGTGAAGGGAGATCGAGAGAGACGGGGCGACCGGCGCTCAAGGTGGAGCGAGAGAGACCGCGCGATCGCTCGAGGGGCCGCGAGGGAGAGCGAGAGAGACAAGCGGAGTACTTTCGCGCCCGAGGACCGAGGATCTCGCCGAGGTGTGCGGGTGGAGGTACTCCGCCTTGGCACCGGGGCAAAAGTGACGATCCTAACCTAATCGTCCCAATTATTCCAATCACCCGACAAACCGTCGTCTAACCCCCGCACTCCTCGGACCGTCGTATCTCCGTCGTCGGGCCCGAGTCTCGTCCTCTCGTTCTCCATCCGGAAGGACGGAGAATCGAAACTCCGGTCTCGTCTGTCCGTCCTTCCCGAGGCGTCCCACCCTCGGTCTCCCATTTCACGGAGAGACGTCCTCTCCGTCGGCTTGCGAGCCAGGCATCGAGCGAAGCGAAGGGTGACGGAGGGCGCCGTCTCCACGGCGCGCGTTCTCGGGAGCGGCGTCGTCGTCGCCGCCGTGCCGTTTTAGGTTCACAATGCGATGTTTCTTTTTCCCCCCCTTCCTCGTGACCGGCCCTTCTTACCCCGCGTTTCGTCGGCGACGCGACGCCCTCCGTCCCGGCGGGCCCGCGGTCGTGCGCGCGCAGCCCCGTCTGACGAAGTTCGCTTTCTTTTTTTACGCGGAAGGGTCCCCGCTCGACGGACCAGCCTTCACCGGTAGACGCGCGGGGGCTCCGCGCGTGTCGTCCGCTCGACGGGCCCGGCGCCACCCCCCTCCTCTATGTTAAGTAATTATTTATTTGTGATGATAGAGACGATGATTACGATGGTGATGACGACGAAACGAGGCGACGACGAGTAGTGGTAGTGGTGACGATCCCGACGCGTGCGCGCATGCGCGCACGCCGCTCCGGCGCCGCCATGATGCGATATAATATATGACGAACAAAGATTCGATGATGTTCCTGTTAAATAGTTATTAAAGCACACAAAACATATTACCAACTAAGTCAGGCTTGGGTCTCGTTCGCGGCGGCCGACGTCCTCGGGGATTCGGAAGGACGCGCCCTCCCGAGGGCCCCTAATTATTTCCTACCCCCCGAGGACCTTCCCCCTCCTCGATCCTAGGTACCCCGAGAGAGTACGTACGTACGAACGATTATATTATATGAATACAATGTGTAATAAAGCTGTTGTCATTTTTTGTACTTACATTCTTTGAACGACTTCGAGTGCGCGTCGCTCGCTGCCGCCGACGACGTTCCTCGGTCCCCTTCCCCGACCCCCCGACCCCCTCCTGGGGCACCGGGGGGCCCTGTAAAGGCTCCGGCACGCTTCCCTCTGTATAAAGTCGAGACCTGTATATTTTGTAGCACGTAGGACTTGTACAATCGTCGAGAGCCCCCGAGCCTAGTGATTACTTCGATTGCGACTTACTTTTAGTGATTTACCGCTCTCCGCTACTCTCTCTATTATCATTACCGTGTAAATAGATATGGATTGTCAGTGAAGCGGCGACGTCGCGAGGACGACGAGTGAACGATGATTAATAATGATACCTTCGAAGATAACGTGTCGCTCCATTCTTCCCTGTTCTTCTTCTCATTCGTTCGCGACGCGACGACGCGACGCCCGGCAGCTGGCCCGACGCCGCCACCGGACCCTGGGGCCGACGACGCTCTTCCGGACAGCTGGAGGTCGCTGCTTTTCGCTCTTGCGCACTTCCGGCGAATCCCGATCGGGGGACTTCCGCTGGTTGTCTTCCTGGAGGGAAGGCGTCCCTCAGTCGACGGCGACGCCTCGATCGGTCGGTTCGGACTCCGTGCTGGATAAAAGGGCCTTATCTGATTGCGTGTTAATAATCATTAATTTTTTATACGTCGTTATCGAGGTCTCCGGGGGGTAATCGATCCACTCGCCGTCCCGGGGGTCACTTGAAATGCATATTCATACGCTTTGCGGTTCGCTGAAATTTCTGGGGAGGGAAAAGTCGCGTCCCCGGGATCTTCCCCCCCCCCAGGACGGCGCCTTCCGATCTCGCGATCGTTGAACCGTGGCTTATCGACGCGTTGCCGATCTTATTCCGCGTTTATCCCCCTTTCTGACTGGAAGCCGGGCTTTTACTTCTCGGTGCGCGACCCCGGGCGAAGGTTTCTCCCCGGGGACGAGTCGCGACCGCCTACCCGTGAAAGTCGGCGACGGCGCCGCGACGCGTCGGCCAGACGCTGGTGGGATCGTCCTCTCCTTGACCGATAATCCAGGGTGGGAAGGGAAAATTGATTGAGCCGAAATAACGATGATCGGGTCGGGAAAGTTCACTTTAATAAATCCTCGGCCCGGGGAGGGCAGTTCACTTGGGTGGAGTAATCGTTCTTTGGGGGTAATGGAATATTTTCCTTCGGCTCGTCGTACTTTTTTCCCGGTCTGGTACTCGTTCGATCTTCCGTTCAGGCGTTTGCAAGGGGGGAACGGCGAGTGATGATCTCGGCTCGAGGAGGAGGATCGAAGAGGATCCTCTAAAGCGATCACGTGGATGCAAAGTTTGCTCGGCATCCATCCGACCGCGGGGCAAGTGAAAGTTCTCTCGACACGTACACTGGCGGTCATGAATGACTTACAAGTGTACATGGCGGCAAGTTTAAATCCACGGAAATGCTGGGGGGGTACGCGCTGATTATCTCATTAAACGTTCTACCTTGCAGCTAGTTCGCGGATCGGTGCCATTTTTAGGGGATGGTGGGTCGTTACCGTGAAGAAGATTGTCTCACGGTGTTTCCAGAGTGTAGCAGACGGAGTCATTATGAGGACGCGAAACTAGCCGTTCGTACGGAGAGAGAGCATCTTCGAGGATTCTCTTATCCGGTACATCTTCAGGAACGACTCGTGAAATCGTCACAAAGCAACGCGCAATTATTAAGAAATTCCCTCGGCACGACGTTCGACTTAATTTCCTTGATTGTCCGGACTAGTTTAATTTCCATGATTTCGCTAATAATGGGAAACCCGCGACTCGGGCACGCGCTAGAAGTGGATCCCGCGAAGTTCACGGCGCGGAGATACGAGACGCAAAGGACAAAGAAGCCTCCTTTGTTGGCCGCCAAGAGGATCGCGAGGTTTCGCCGGGGCTTTCGCATCGCCTCGGCGCGATGAGAAAGCTCTTCTTCACGTAAGTGCAGGGTAGGCCGGCGCCCGATACCGTAATTATTTCCCGCCGTAAAGCAAAACATTTCGAGCGAAAAGCGCATCGACGTTAATTGCGCGACGTAACGAGCGGACCCTCTATCGCGTTGAGAAAACGCGACCTCCCGGTCGAGGCTGGTTTTTGACGATCTCCGATGGAAGGAATCGCCCCGGGGTATGATCGATCGAGCGATGATGGGTTTTCGATCGGTCCTCGATGGCTCTTCGATCGGTTTTTCGGCGGCCGCCGCTCATTCGACAGGATCCTTCGACGTCGACACGTAAGGGCGGCACGCGATCCGCGATCACCTGGCTCGGCTCTTACGACGATCCAAGGATCGTGGGGCGACCTTGCCTTCGTGAGAATCGGCAAAAACCTAACGGTCGGTCTTTTTACTTTCATCCCGATAGTTTCCACTCGCGTGTTACGTTACGTTCGGCCGGGCGCTCGTTACGTTACCCCTCGCGCCGCTCGACCGCGTTTCGCGGCGTCGCCGGTATCGACGCAGTTTTTCGAGCCAACGAGGCGTCGCGGCTGGAAACGCCCCGGACAAAAGTTCCTCGGCGTCCCGTCCCTCGCATATTTCGTAAGAAACGTTTCCTCGCATCTGCGACCGTTCGGAAGATAGAGGCCGATCTTCCGCGTCTCCCGTCTAGACTCTAGACGTGGGTCGGGGGTTATCGCGATTTTCCGCCAGCCTCGGTGTTTCTCCCTCCGGTTGCGATTTTTCCCAGTTATCGCGACGCCTGTCTCGCAGGGATCCGCGGATTACGAGCTTCCTTCTCGATTCGCGGCCGGCGAAAACGAATATCTTAAATCTAAGGAACGCCTTATACGCGGCGGTCCGGCCGTGGGACTATCTAACAAAGTCCTGAGAAAAAGTGACGCTTCCCACACGTCGGGCGAATCTCAGCCTTGAACGATCGCCGCCCGGGGCCCGTGGCAGCGGGAAATTGTAGGCCGATCTCTGCCGCACGCGATCGGGCTTGAGTTTTCGTAAATTAAGCCCGCGGCCCGGCGAAATGCGTGTCATCCGGCGTCGAGGGAGGCCCTTTCGGCTGCTGCAACGCGGACGCGCCGACAGGGATCGTTTCGGCCAGTGATCGCGCGATCGAGTCGTGGGAATCGAACGGATCGCATCCGGCGATTAAAATCTTTTTCCGGCCGCCTCTCTCGTTATACCCGTTGGATCCGCAGCGCGACTCTTTTCCGCAGCGCTCGCCCACTTCCGGGCGCCGCGCTCGGCTTATTTAACGACTCCGAAGCCGTTCCCTCGTGATTATTCATTAATTCAACCGCTAAACGATCCGGCAGTCTGGAGGAGAAAGAAAAGCAAAAAGAAAAGCATACGACCCGCGGAATTAAATCCGCGGTTAATCGGAGGCCTTTCCAACCCTTGACCCGAATAGCGCGGTGAGATCACGTCCCGAGGAGAAGAAACGCCGCTGCGGCGCGGAAAAAGGCGAGTCTCGTAACGCCGGGATCCCTGTAGATCGATTACAAACGTGGGAATGATCGACGGTCGCGTCCTGACAAAAAGCCCTATTTATCGCGTCGCTCGATAACGCGATCCACCAGGGTGGCGAAAATCTCGCTCCCGAAGAGGTGCCCTCGCATCTCCCTGCTCGCTTCAACGTGGACCAACGCAAGACCTAGGCCCATTCCCGCGCTCTTTGGGGATAAGTTCTCACGTGACCGGGGCAATCGTCGAGCGACCCCAAATCTGACCCCAAATAGCGCGGTCGGGCTAAACAGGAGTCGAGGAGCGGAATACCGCGTCCTGGAGTGCTCCCATACGATGCGCGGGGCCGAAGGTAGCACTCTAGGTAGCTCGGAGGTTGCACTCTAGGTTGCACGCTAGGTTGCACGCCGGGTTGCATCGGCGCCGCGCAGCGGGGGCATATCGAGGGGGGCCCGCTCGATCCTTCCTGACATTTCGAGAATCGCGCATACCTCTACGTGCACGGATACGGACTCGGAGAGCTGCTCTTCTCCTTTTAGCTCCCCTTCACCTCTGGCCCCCCTCGTTCGAGTAATCGAATCTTAACGGTCGTAGGAGAGCGGGAGAGCTCTCGCGAGGTGCACGGCTCCGCAAGTAGGTAACTCGCGTGGGCCCCGGGGGCCGGGGGCAGGGTCATTTAAATAAACGAGCCGGCGACACGAGAGAACCGGGAACCGGGAAGCTCGATGATCCCTCGACGGTCCACGAGGATGCTGCGCTGGATCGAAGGAGTCCTCTTGCACTTCGAGCCACGTCTCGATGCCTCCCGCGATGACCTCCTTGCGAGGGTCAGTTACTCCCTAAAATCGATGAAAAGGAATTAACTCGGACCCAGGGGATGATTGCAATGAAAAAAATAAAGAAATAAATTACCTCGGTTCTCGGGAATTATTTCATCGAAGGAAATTAATTCGGTCTCTGGGAATCGTTCGATAGGGACGATAAGTCGCTTCTGAAGAGCGGAGATCGACCACGAGTGGAGGTGGCCCGTTTCGTCTATCTCGAGTGCACCGGGCTGCGGTGCATCGCGCTTGCGCGCCCCGGAGGGAGATAACGCGCGAACGCACGTGGACTGCACTCGGCGGTGCATCCTCGGACCTTAACCGACATCGATGCTCTCGGTCGGAGTCGATGGACTCCCGTCGATGCTCTCCGCGGGACGTGAGCGGATTCCCGAAGGATTTACCGGGAAATGGAGCTCCGGTACATCTCGAGCTCGCCGCGTCCCGAATGCATCGAGACTATGATTTTATCAAATCCGATGCATCTCTTTCTAGGACCTCTTCGGGGTCCCTCCGGAGAGGTGGAGGTGCTCCCTCGATCGCCGGGAACGAGGGTCCCCAGGGTCGCGTAGGAACCCTGGAGGGCTCTCGGGAACGGTACCGGGCACGCGTCGGTTTCCCCGGGCCTCGGAGGGACGTAATCGGCGTCCCCTGGAAGAGGACGCCTTCCAGGCGGAAGAGGAGGAAACGGATCGGCGATGCCGAACGAGCGGCCGGCACTCTCTCGGTACCCGGTGCTCGGTACTCGGTACGGTACATTCACCAATGACCGAGTGGCACGGATCCTCTCTCGGGGCATCCTCTCTTCTCTAGTCTCTAGGGGACTCTCCGACCTCTCGTTTGCCTCCCAGGCCAGGGGGAAAAATCCTCGACGCGTTCGAGCGCACTCGGGCTCTCCGCGTGGGCAAGAAGGCTCTTCAGGGTCCTCTTCGGGCTCCTCTCCGGGGTGTTGGGGCGAGCGGCCACTTTGCTCTCCGCTCCGTAAGCGTGCTCTATTCCTCGACTGCTTTCCTGAATGAAAAAGAAAAAAAATTGTCTTCGATCAACCTGTACTTGAAACGTGTGTTTTCATGACGAGTGTACTCAAAAACAGCTAACTGGTTAATGAAAAAATCATTTCTTTGAATATAGTTCATTTAGATTAAATCACTGTGCCGTGATAGAACACGTAATTACTCTGGACTATTTGCTCTGACTCTACTCTTTTTTTTTTTTTTCTTAAATAAACTGAAGAAATAATTTTTTTATTAACATTCCGTAGAACGGTACCAAGTTAACGTCGGTTTGTCGATGGAAGAGCCCTTCGTCCTGGCTCGATCCGGTGCAGGAGTCGCCTAACGCGTCCTCAGGATTTCGCGGCCGAGCCGAGACCGTGAGAATCGCGAAGCGAATTCGGGACGCGTTGTTTTGCCTCGGCTTCTAGCTGCACCGGGAAACCGAGTGTCCACCGGCGTGGAGCATTATATAAAATAAACGGGGACCTCATCGCTTACGTAAACCCCGCGGCGACTCGATTGCGGAAAATGAAGGAAAACCGCGGAAGGTCGGATATAGCCAATAGAGGGGGAAATTGAATATAATTCCCTTCGACGAACATCTCGAACAGCGTAGGGGCGGATACGGTATAAGGAGACCGCGGAGGAAAGCCGCGGAAAACGCGGGTGATATCACGCGGAATATTAATGGAGCGATCGGGAGAATTCCCGGGAACAGAAGGCGGCTCTTTAAACCCGGTCGCACCTTCGCGTAGGAAAGCCGCGATTAAGTAATATCGCCGATATTGCCGTTACGCCAGCCCGTAAGGCCGATCGTATTTCCGATTATCGATTATATTGTAACGCACGATCGACGACCATACTCGAGTGGCGCTCGCATCCTTGGGAAAGATTAAGTCCTGCCGAAGCGTCGGTTTTTCTCGTCCTTGGACTCGGCTCGATGGAAAGTCCCGTGAAATTGATAAGGGGACGATTAATGACACCGCGGCTCGGATAAGTCGGAGCGGGCGCAATTCGACGGGTGATCGCCGCGAAGAGACAATAAAACAATGGATAAGTGGATAAGTAAAGAAATAAAGAAAAGCGCTACCTCGGAGGAAAGCCGCGACATGGGGTTCCTCCGGGGTGGTAGACCTTTTTCCCGTTTCGACTTACAACCAGGCGGGATAAATAATTAAACGGCACTGCCACAAGGCTCGGCTCGGCCTTAATGGGACCGATGGTTAGATTTTCATGTCCGAGGCTCGCAATCGGTACCGCAGTCCTCTCGTTACCAGACTTGTATCATATTCCCGAGCAAAGAGAGGCAAACGAGAGGGGCTCGCACACCTCGCGAGGTAGGTTCGTGCCTTCTTCGACGTCTCCGAGACCACGGGGCCCCGTAAAAACGTCCTCCTCCCGTTCCTCTACTTAGCATAGCGTACGTAGCATAATAAGAGGAGACTCGATGTGGGACGACGTTACAAAGTGCGATCCCTCTTTGTCCCTCCTCGAACTATTGCCGTCCCGGCGCGACGTCGTCGATCGATGGGATCGAACCCGGAGGAAACGTCGCGACGCATCCGGAAGATCGCAATTCCTTTGTTGTGCATCGACGACGGCCGACAGCGATGCGTAACGTGGGAAATCAAATGGCAAAGTGCTCCTTCCGAGCTCATTACGACCGATGGAAAAGAAAAGGATCGCCAACGAAGACTGGCCTCGGATTTTCTCTCCCCCCCGCTCCCCTGAATTCTCCCGACAATCCCGTCCGATTATCTCCCGAGCCTTGGAAAATTTCCCGCGTTTCCTCCAAGGGGATACGATCGACGCAATCGTTACGCAGGCGATGGACTTCGCCTCCGTCGCGTGCACTTCCGATGGGAACTTGGAGACGAGTCGATTAATCTCGTAATTTCGTCCCACCGGCGGATGTCTCGTGTCTCGGCAAATGGTGGGGATTTTTGTCCTCCGTGACGTGGCGCAGCCTCCACCAGGAGATCGTCTCTCGGCGTCTTGGCGTCGAAGCTGTAGAAAGTATACAAATGTCGGATGATGTACGCAAAAAGTTAGCGGGCAAATGTCAAACATAGGCCACGAGCGGGCGACTCTCAGGGCACGTGTAAAGTATAATGCGTGATCGATTGACTCTTGTAAACTAAGAGTACGCCCTGAGGCGGGGGTAAATATAGAAATACCAGGAACGGTCCCGGGTCCTTTTTAATTTATCTTGGGCGAGGACTATCGCGCGATTCGCTACATCCCGAGGAATATGCACCTCGCACCCAGGAGTCGACCCGAAGCGGCATAAGAGACGGCCTTACGGAAGTCCCCCTAGACGCGCGTGAAATTCTCGCCTAGAAGAGGGACAACGGTTTCTTCTCAGCCCGAGGACGCGCCGATCCATCCGCCACGTCGGCGAACCGCAATTACCCCTTTTCTTCGTTTCCTAAAACAGAGGAGAGAAAATAAAAAATAAGGAAAGCGTGATTTAAATTTGGAGCCGCTACTCCAAGCAAGCCGAACCTCGTCCGAAGGTGTCCCGCGCAGCTTCCGAAAAGGGGTCCAGCCTCGAGGTCGGGATTCCTCCCCCGGGTCTCCTTCCGCGCCACCTCGGCCAGGAATTCCGCCAGGCGGTCGCTGGACAAAAAGGGCCGGAGAAAAGAACCGTCTAAGAGAGCCGTTCTTTCCGGCAGAGCTCGATTCATCGCGGTCCGGGCCGATCTCGATAGCCGGAGAGAGGAGGGCTCGAGGAATTCGCCGGGGCATCCCGCGGTCCGGGCGGAGTGCCGGGAGCAATTAACCGGCCTCCCTCGGGATCCTGGAGCTAAATCTCGCGAGGCTCGCGGATGCCGGGGCCCGATCGCGATCGGAGCCGGCCGCCGTTGTCCCGGTAGCCCCCAATGGGCCCCAGGTATCCGGGGCCCGTCGGGGGCCTCAGGCATCCGGGGGTCCACGCGATGCGGCCGAGATGCGACGGGATGCACCGAGATGCGAGTAACCCGTTGCCTCTCTCCCGCGTCTCCCGGCGCAAGGTGGAAGGTGGAAGGTGGAAGGTCTCTAGGAGAGAGGAAGGCCCCTCGCCTTCGGCCGGCCGGCCCCGTTGCTCGGCCGGGAGGGGAGGTGGAATTAATTATTTTATTACCTCCAGGAACTGTGACTCGCCCGAATGCAAAGAGGCGACCGCTCTTGGAGGCGCGACACTCGGGATTCATCGCCAGTCGGCAGGGCCAAGACGGAGTAGCCGCCGAATGTCATCGAGAGTCCTTTCAAAAGTCCCCGCGATGCCAGCACTCCCCTAGGTAAACGAGGATTTCGTACAAGAACTCCACAAAGTGAACCTCCTTTCGTGATTCATGCGTACCTTGAGTGGCCGGTCCATCGAGGAGGCACTTCGCCATAGATCGTTGGAGCCTATACGATCCGCTCCGCAGCGTTTACAGGGGCAAACAAATCGAGTTCACTCGCAACCCAATCTCCCTGGCACCTCGTAAACTCACGTCCCGTGTCCGTATTCATTGTTTCCCTCCTAGGATAATCCCAGCATATCCATACGATATCGCTAAACATAAGCTAATGTCACTAAATTAATTTCTCTCTACATACATTAGTTTGCCATCACCCGAGTAAGGACATTTCGCTCGAGGCCGCGAAAGTCGGCGCCGTCGTCGATGCAAACGAGGAAGTGCACAGAGGGAAGAGAAACGAGCCGTTCCACGAGTTTCCCCGAAGTTCCGACTTTTCCCCGAGCGTTGCACTTTCCACGGAGTAATCGTGCTCGGACGTTCGAAGATCGAGGGAACTCCGGATGTCGGCGGGGTCGGGTTCTCGCCTCCCCCGAGGGCTCGTCCCTGAGAAGAGGGAAGACAGAAGAAGAGAGAAAGGGAAGCGGTGATCTCGCTTACGTCATCCACCTGGCGCGTATCATCCGTTTCCGGTCCCCGGCCCCGTCTTTCCGATTCCCATTCCTCGGCTCGTCCGCTCCCGGTCGGCGAGGTGTCTCCCCGCGCTTTCCTTATCCTCCAGGATTTCCCTTCCAGATAGGGCCCTGTAACGATAATTGGCGCAATCACGGGAATCATCGTAGTGGCCCAAAGCATGCAGTCTACCTCGGAGGACTCCGCGAAAGTGCATTTTTCTGCAGTTGCACCTACGCGGAAGGAACGATTACCCTAGAGAAAATTTACGTGCCGGTGGAATCCCTCCCCCCAGGGAGTAATTTTCGTTAAGCGACTTCCCTCGTTTCCTTTCCCGTCCGGCTCTGATACGCTTAAACGACTCGGGAGGACACCTTGCAGAAAGGCTGTCGCATCGGATCCGAGAAATGAAGAAAAGGATCGGTTGAACGGAGCTTCGGGATTAATAAATAACCGGAGCTCGGTGGGGAGGGAAACTGGAACTTCGTGACGCGGTGATAAGGGGTATCGGCCGAGGGATCTTCCTCAAGGGGGTAAAAGGGGGGTAAGGGAAATCGGCCTCTTTCTCCCATATCGCCGGATCCGTCCACGCGGTAGGATAAGGCTGATATATGTAGGTTGGGTCGGGTTAGGGTTAAGTCAGGCTCGGTTGAGTCAGGTTAAGTGGTAGCGGCTGGTATTGGCAAATCGCGATTCGAAGGAACTAGCACGGACAACGAAGCGGGAGCTTCGTGCGCCTCGCCGGGGAGGTGGAGGTGGAGGCGGCGGAGGTGGTGGATGCGCTGGATGCGGAGGTTGCGGAGGTTGGACGTGGAGGCGGCCGAGGTGGAAGGGAGAGGAGGTGAACAACTTTCACGCGACGACGAGCTTCTTCGTATCGGAATGCTTCTGCACCAGTGTCGGCGCCGTCGAGGGGCCGAGGAGGAGGAGGCCATCCTTAAGGAAGCCGTCCTTAACCTCCGACCTCGGCACCCTTAGGGGTACCGGGCCAATCCGGCCAATTCCTCCAGGGCACTCGCCTCCTTCGACCGCTACCGGGGTTACGAGTCTCCCTTCTCCTCCTCTCCAATTCCGAGGACATCCTGAGGCCTGGGCCCGAGTTGACCCACTGATACGGTAATTCGAGTTAATTCGTCCTTCCTGAGAAATCGACGGATCCGCTTGTAACGAGCAGGACGACGTCGGTCCTTGAGGGCATTCACTCGGGGAATGGATTTGAAATCACCGAAACGCTGTCACGATGTCGAGGTCGAATCGCATAGTTTATCATACGAAATCAAAGGCAACCGTTCCCATTGATTTCCGTGTGAATAGCTCCTCGTCGGAGAGCGGGACTTCCAGGAGACCTAGAAGATTTTAGAGCGCAATTAATTTTAACCGCCCGCCAGGACCGATAGGAAGCACCTCTTAAGAGGCTCTTTTATGGCGCTCCGGAGATACGTCGAATTAATGTTTTCCATAATTAAGGGTAAACGCGTGCCAGATAAGGGAATTCGGAGACGCGTTACCGAGTCATCATCCTCGTCCTTCTTCCAGGTGAGATGGCCCGACGCCGTTTCCTTTCGCCAGGTGCTCGACGGTGCGATGGCCTCAGGATAAACTACGGGCGCACATGTGTACCTGAAATTGCCTGAAATTCTCAGATCCGCCAGATACTATATGACGCCTCGGGGAAGAAATGCTCACCGGCGGAGAATGACGGTGTTAATGGACGAATGAAGGAGCAGAACCGGGAAAGAAGCGGTCCTTACTAACCGTGACGTTGATGTGGCATGGCTGACTCCGGGATATCTCGGAGATAACGTTACTTAACGCTAGTTCCCCGCTACGTGCATTAGTGCCTAACGAAACTCCCAGATACGGGGAAATTCGCCGTAAAACTTGCGTCGCTCCTCTCTAAGACAGAAAGGCGAGAACCCATAAGGGATGGTTTATAAAAATTAGTAAATAAGTCACTTACGATAAAACCTGGCAATCTAGGAGACAGGGAATTTTAAATATCGAATGGTAGTTGTAAGTACCGAGAGTCAATACGGTCGGCTCGTTTTTCGTTTGATGGTAACTTGAACTACGTGAAAAAATTCGCTGCAATCTGGAAGAGATAAATCTATCGGTTTATTTATTTTATCGTCTACTTATTGTTAAATATACTTGGATTAATTTTGATTACTTGAGACGAATAATGAAGAGGTGGCTTCAGGGTATTTAGAGCGTCAAAGATCGCTGCTCTCCTCGGTCGGTACATGGAATTGCCAAGCGACGCCATCTTGGAATTTCTTCCGTTTCTCTCCCGTGGCTGAAAGCGATCGGTAAAATGGGAAAAACTCCTTCGGTAAAGACGATCGACGGTGGATAAAACTTACAAGATGTATTTTAGTCGCTGATGGTAATATTGGTATCCGTAAAAGTGACTTACCACGGGCAGGATCGAATGAAACTGTATCCACGCATAAAGGTGACCATCAGCGGATTCGTCGATTGGATAACGAGATCCGTGCAGGCCGTAAATTCAGGACGTTTTCTTTTCTTTTCTTTTTATTAGCTTTCACAAACACGAATGCAATATGCTGTCACAGTCGAGTAGCGCGTTAAATTCTGCAATAAAAAAAAAATAATATTACGCATCCGTGACGCAACTTAACCTAGTAAAACTTGTCGAAGAATTTTTGTCAGCTTGATAAAGACTCTCAGCAATCACTGGCTACATGCGTCACGTGAATACCAATAATCACCCCCATGCGACTTTAAACAAATACCATTAACACATGACAGTCGGTATCCGCGTGACGCAATTAATTGCTAACTACAGTTCGTAAACATAAGAAATGTTCCGCTTATCGGAAATGGACCTTATGCTATGGACCGTCGACGCAAAATTCCCTGCTACATCAGTCGAAGACATTTGGAATCCAGATGATCTTACAAAGTCTTGTTCGTTTTGAAAATTACTTCCGTCAGGCGCGGTTAACTATCAGCAGCGATCGAAGGTATATCCGATTGTTAGAGAAGCATCGTTGATCCTCTCCCGATTATCACATGAAACAATAGATAAATAAGAGACGGGAAGGAATACGGTGAATCGTCAAGAGCCGTTCCCGTACCGATCGGTAAAATACCGTGAACGTGTCCCAGGGTTCAAATCACAGTCATTACCTAAAAACCAAAACGTCCTAGGAGATCCTAACCAATGCTCGGCAAGGTGGATAAAAAGGAAAAGATAATTTACATCTTGAGGCAACGCAGTGTCTTTTCGGGGACTCTCAAGATGTGCTGGAAGGATTCTCGTCGAGGGGCATTTTCTTCGGGAACGCGATCGGCCTGCATTTGGTCGGCATCGATTGTTGCAAGGTCCAGGAATTCCGGGTTGCCCATCAAGGTCCTAAGGCACAGATTTCGTTCCTTGATCAGCGACCGGACCATGACTTCCAGGGAAAAGAGGTGCTCGTCATGAGCCTCCGGTAGATAGCGACGCATGAAGTCGGCTAATCTGTGAAAAGAGGCACTTCAATTATCTGATTATCCCTAATAGTAAACTGTATAAATTAAAAAAGGAAAAAAAAAAGCCGATCTCAAGGTGTAGGAACACAAACCTGAGAAGGTACTCCACGTTGTGCCCACTAGGGCCAGACGATTCGGCGATCTGGTCGGCTATTGTTTGCAGCGGGGCCTTGCCAAGCCAATGTTCATTCTTATTTGTGGCAATATACAAAACGGCCGGGAAACTCTTGCCGTCGTCTCGGGAATAGAACGTCGTCAGGGCCGTCAGATAACCACCGAGGGAGCACTCCCGCTTCTCAAGATATCTCATAGCCTCGTTGTCCTTGACTTTGAAAGCCCGTCCATAAACTTTTTCCTGGAAAAATGAAAATACAATCAGCGCCATAATTAATAAATAAGCCAGCTCTTACAGGGCACAGCGCAGAAGCATAGTTACCTCCTTGCTCTCGACCAACGTGGCTACTCGACCCGGCTGGAAGCAGAAAGAAAAGGCGGATATTAGCGATAGCGCAAGGAAATGGTACAAACGTCTGTTTCAAGGAATCGAGGGCTATCGATTCAAAGAAAACGGCGATTTGCGTTCGCGGATGACCAGCGAATGGTTGTTCGCTCCAACTCACGGATGATAGTCGCGAAGTCGCTTGTACATATCGCTTTTCGTTATTACAATATTATAAACTATTCATTGACTCTCGGCCGGCACCAAGTGAGGGCTCGATTTTGCGCCTCTAAGATTCACGCAGGATAATGTGTACATCGTCAGGTGTCCGCGTCTCTTTGTCACTCTTGGCGCAAAAACTCGGCTCTAGAAAAGTTCTGGACAGCTGCCAGAACATCCCGCGTGAATCTTGATTGCCGGCGCCAAATCGTCAAAATGCGATTATTTCTAGATCCCCCGCTAGCGCACCTAGCATCCACGTGTACATTCATTGTCAATTACCGACAATCTCCGACGCACCCGATTAAGCTTTGCGAATCGCTCCTAACTTGACACGTTTCCGTAGTGCCCAAGACATTTTCCAACGTCCTAAAAATACCCGTACAAGATTTTCTAACATTCCTAATGTTTTATTTAGACAGCCAGGAAATCGGGACTCCGTTCGTCGACCTCGAGGTCGACATACACAAGGCCTTCGCGACATCTGGATTAATCTCGATCATTCCTGGTCGATAACTGTCTGAAGATGCCGTTATCACCGGCCAGACACGCACGCGACGTCTCGTCGCATTTCTTGAAAAAAAAAAGCGCTGCCTTGGACGAAATTAATTGGCGCTATACTAGATACTAAGATACAATTTCAGTAGACGCTTCTTTTCGCTCTAAGCTCTCCACCGAGCTTCCGTTCATCGACTCGGATGAGGCCAACGAACGAAAGCTCGGTCGAATAATTGTCCCGAGACATTTGCGGTGGTACGTGTCGATTGGCCACACACCGTGACTCTCGCCCCGACAAAGAACTGCGAATACTCCCGCGTAGATTACAGGTGTAGATTTCGCAGCGGTCTCTGCAATTGAAAGGAGATATCCGACACGAGGTATCCGGTGGCTGTATTTTTTCGCCGGTCCCCTAGAAGGCAGGATTCAGGATGTACAGATACGAAGGGTCCTCTTATCGTCCGTGATTTTTAATACAGATCAGGTGGGGGCCTACAATTGACAAAGAGAAATTAACGTTGGTCCGGGGTCCGGCTATTTTGTCTGCGATACGAAAGTCGAGCCGAGAGTGCGATAAGATTGTTATTTGGGATATTCTGCATCGGTACTGAAGTACTAAATTCATGTCCGGCCGGTTATCTACATATAACATATTGTACCTATCTGTCCAAAGTCGCTTCACGTGATATGTCGGATAACGACAGATGGCTCGGAATTTTGCGCACTTTCAGCGGACGTATTATCTCTGTATACATACGAGCGATACTAATCGAACTTCGTGCATCATTACATGGCAGCAGCTTTATCTCTTTCAACATGGTGTTTCTACTTGGTCAGGAACTTCGATAGGAGGTCCGCTCTTGAAGTCGCCTTTGGGTGTAACAGTACAATATAAGTATTCATTTCTATCATTGAAACCCGTGGAAAGGTCGCCACGCGCTAGGAGCAATTTACGACTAATTCAGCTGGTAACGCATTTTCAATTACGCGTACGTAGTCACACGTGTCGGGCGTGAGTCAATGTTTATTATGAATGTAGCGTCGCAGAGGGCAATGGGAGATCCGACGCTTTTTCCTAGATTTATAGTCAATGTCCTGCAGCGTGGCGCGCCACGTGGAGACCCTATAATCAGGCTGCAAAGACCAGATTTGCTTCAACAAAGTTCATTCCGATGGAATTTCGTGTCCACGACTTACATTCTAAACTCGTGTCGTATCGTGAATTCCTAATTATCCGCACCTTTGTCACCGAACTGAGTAATCGCTCGGGTGCAAGCCCGCAATAGCGCACGGATCGGTGCAAATTGGCACGTTTAAATGACACTTCGTTCAACCGCGGTCATTTTTCAATCCAGGATGAACGTTCCTAATTCTTGCCTCGACTTTAGTGCCAAACACACCCCGTGCACGTGGCGGATATTTGCTGGGATAAAAATGACCGTGTTCTCGCTTTTGTCCTAGGGAGTCATTAGGCGCAAAGTTGCATAACAAAGTCCCGGGATTTTCGACCTAATGATTGCGCGCCCAATTGACCCCCGATCGCCGCCCGGCTTTTTAAGTTGTAAACATGCACGACCGGACTCGCCGATTACCTTGTCGACGGTCCCTCGGTGGGTGACGTTGCCTTGCCAAAACCGCCTGCCGAACCCCTGTACGAATCCCGTCATGCTGGCCTTGTACTCGAACCCCGGGTACCAGCACAGGGATCCGTACCCGAAAACCCAAAGGCTGCGATCCTCGCTCATGATTCCCCTTTCTCTTACTCTTGGATGAAATTATGCTCGCATCGGAACTAACTCGATTCTCAACCTCGATAGGGCCTTCCCGCATGGCTTCGTCAACTCCCTCGATACGCCGACATCCTTTGATCTTCCTGGGATTCGGGCCATCCACCTTCCGAGCGCATCTTACCGAGGACGGAAACGACCCGCGCCACGTCCGGCCGGTCGGACCAGCCTGGCGAGCGGTCCGCTTCGCGCGCCCTTTTATAGAAAACCGGACCCTGCGGTGGCGCCTTCTCGCGACTGCGCGTCGAACCTCTGCACACCCCGCCGATTCCACGCGTACTCTACCGTTCTTCCTCTAATTAACCATCACTAAACCGCGCCTCCGTCTTCGTTAATGTCCTCGATGCCGTCTTAAATTCTCTTTCTTGTTAACTGTCACGTGTGCAGCCTTCCGGCGTGGCTTTCCACGAATAGAAACCGCTTTGAAGTCGTAGGAGAAACGCCGTCGCGCCGTTGCCGCGTTCATACGCGGGCCGATAGAGGCCGATCTGTCGGTAACGTAGGCCGCCATTCGCGGGCTCGAATTGGGATCCTCTTCCTTTTTCTTAGTTACACGACTCACAGGTACAACACATTTTGAAAGCGTATGTATAGTCGATATGGAACCTCGGTACCGAGGGATTATTCCCTTGGATGTTTTCTTCTTGATTCCTCTTCCAAGGAGACGATTCGTTTTGGAGATTCGCAACAGATGCGTGGCACTCGAGTGGCCCTGAGTCTGACGTTGACCTACTTGCACTGGTGATATCCTCGGGTTATTTGCCCACTTTTTGACGACACTGGGTCACGCGTGAGTACGGAATCTACTTTGTACTCGATAAATTATGGGTTTTGCACTTTTTTTAAGGGAAGATCAGGTTTCGCTCGACGTACTGTCTCGGAAGCTGAAGCGCGTCTGGCGTCGGCGTAAGGTGGAGCGATTCGGCGACGATAATGGATGCCGGTCGGCAGAGGGGATGCGCCGTTCGGGGGCCGAGGTCTTGCCGGGAAAGGGGCGACTGCCATGGATGATGAAACAAGCCGAGAGATTGACCCACACCTCGTGTCACGTATCCGCGTGCTGCTGGACATGTTTTCACGTACACGGAACTTCCTGAAGAGACGTGGATACGTGGCAAATGATATGTACGTTATTAACGTCACACGAGCCGAACTGATAGTGCATATATTTTTTTTTTTTCCTTCCAGGGGAGCGCCAAAAATTCCCCAGCTCGACAACCGCCGTTGTTATCAGAAAAAGCATGCTTTATTCGCAGGCTGAGCAGTACACGTTAAATAATACAAAAATGCAGAAGTACGATCACAGAATCGACGGGAGTCCGCAATTCGTTCAATATATAGGAAGAACATTCCCTGTACTTTCTGGACGGAGGCGGCAAACGTGAGAGGCAGACGGATGTCTCGTAGCAGGAGGGCGTTTTCTTTCATCTTGCCTCCTCCGACAAGCATCAATTGGATCTGTCTATTTAAACCTCCGAGTCGTTCATTTTCACTCGGTTGTTGAGCTTGACTCCTATATTTTTATCGGCTATTTAGATTAGAACGTTAAGTATATCTCTCTCCAGTACTTTATGGTCTTGTCGAAGACCTTGCGAGGCTCGCCGTGGGATCAACAACCCTTCCGGCAAATAAGATGCTGTTGGTCCACAAATCTACCAGAGCGAAGATAAATGGTCGGTCGACTCGAATGGTTTGAAGAGTGGAACCCATCAGAGGCACTACTGAAATTCCTGGAATTATTAAAAAATCCTTATTAAATCATGCAGTTACCCTGTGGAGGTTTACGAGAATTTTCGGGGTATCGTTAGATGGTTGTCAATTTTTTTTTTCCCGAGAAAAACTGATCATTACCTGTTACAGCGGCAGCAACGGTTCCGGTCTCGTCGACGACGATTTTGGCGTTGTGAATCACACTACCGATTCGCGCTGATCCCTTCGTCAGGATTCCAGATAGGTTTGATTTCACGTCGAACAGGTCCTTGATGCCCAGCTATAATAGTAAATTTAATTTATTACGTGTGGTCTTTTTTTTTTAGAAATCTACATTTAACTTACACGCTCGAGAGAAGGACGCAAGTCGAGCTTGCTTTCGATGGCGAATCTGGGGAGCAGCAGCAAAATCTCGGTGTCACGAAGAGTTCCCAGCAAAGTGGAGATAGGCGTATAAGAGAGATCCTTTGAGAGGGTCTTCAGGGCAGTTTCTCCCTTCTCAGCACTAGGGAGCAGAATCAACATGGACATCCTGTTGTCCTGAAAATGGTGAAGTTAATTCATGGATTAGATTTAGGTAGATAAAACGATAAACTGCAGTTTCTGCTGTTACTGATGATTTTACCGAATAGGGGATCTCGATGACATCAGCATCCAAAGAAGGGACGTATGCATATCGGTACTTTGAGATACTCTCCATCATGTATGCCTGGGTGCATCCTCGATTAGGCACATTGAAGCACAACTGTCGGGTGTATTTACCATTAAAGGATTTCGCCCAGGAGCCCTTGAAGTACAACGTCGTCGTCAGCAGCATCTGTGTGTCGGAAGGGAGACTTCCTGGTAAGAAATTACAGAGGGAAGTTAGATTATTTAATAAAAAAAAAAAATATTTATTTGTTCTACTATTCACTCCATTTTACCAGGTTCCACGAGCGATTTGATGTTCCCATGAGTCGCTCCGTCCACCCAGTTGTTTATCGTATTTGCCGAAATGGCGGCATTTGCGAAATCGACCGACTGGACATCTCCACCGTAATACTGCTGCAATGCATTTATGTATTCCGGCTTCACTTGAACCCCTTGTGCTGTCCACAAGCGAGTGGCGAGCTCTATCACCGTTCCGGATCGCACATCCTGAAGAGTACATGATATCAATGCCAATAAGACGTCAGAGTTAATCCTTGTATATACCTTGAAAGGGGCAAGGGTACGTTTCGCAAGTTCTCTAATTTTAGTGACGTCATAAGGCAGTCTTAAAGTAGAAACGAGTTCCTCTTGCGTTCGTCCTCGAGTTCCCTCCACCAGGGTCGTCAATGCAGCCTTAACACTGGCAGGAGCCAGCACAACGTTTCCTTCTCGTTCCTGGTTAATCGTCTTTGGAAAATAATTAACGTTATTATCGATCTCTAAATAATGTGACGGGAAAATAAGATCTCACCTGCAGTAGCTCGATGCTGAAGAAGTTGTATCGCTCCACCGCATTACTGGATGCAACTGATAGGACGAGATTCAGATTAAAAAAGTCATCGCGTGAGAGAAGCATCAACCCTTTACGTGTTATTTGCTTTTTTTAATTCAACGCTGTACTCTACCAGTCACGTCTATTAGGATTAATAATATTAAGCCCTCTACGATTATTGGGCTACTTTGTCATGCACCTTGGGACTAGTACGTAGTGACAAATACTGTTACCGTAAGAGTTATTTCTCTCTGCACCGTGGAAATTTCTGTACTCGAATTAATACCACGTGTTACGATCAATTATTATACATGAGTGCATGTTAACCAGCAACCTAGTCACTTTACATTGCTGAATGCTGAACACGGGGTATGGTAATTGTTCGCAGCGCGGTGTGATTATTTTTAGTTGCAGAAATTTCACCAGCGCCGAGCACTAAATACTTGAAGAACCAAAGCACTGCTACCTTGGAAGGCGGGTTAAATGTACAGAGAACAAACCATTACCAGATACGATGACAGTGTCAAAGGCCGTGCCGATTATCGTTTGGGAAACGGTGTTAATGGAGTTTAGCGACTACGAAATTGGTTCTGATTCGAGTTTACCGCCTGTCGGGGATTCGTTGGGCACTTCTTGGCCGAATCGCGATGGAAAGTCCGTAGGAGGAATGGACTCGACGCGACCAGTACCTTCAAGGGGATTCGTCACCTTGCCCACGAAGACGATGGTGCCCGTCGACTCGTCCTCGATGAAGAACACGAAGGGGTGGTCTGCATAGAACGTCTGCTCGGCCATTTTGTTACCCAGGTGCACGTCTTTAAAAGCAAAGCAATGCTTTCATTATGTAAATTAAGATACATCTAATTGATAACTGAAATTACCTGTCGCGGCGAATGCGGAAGTTCCCTGTTCGTTGATCTCGATGCCGGCTTTTTGTATTATTTCTGACACTACCAGGTGCCTGGAGGTCCTTTTGCTGCGAGCTATGCCAGTCAGAGTGGCAGTGTCGTCGAAAATTTCCCGGATACCTAACTGAGGAACCATTTTTTTAAAAACTTTCCCACGGCTTCTAAGACACCAGACACTATTTCAAGGATTCTTCGTTAAGAAGCGACTCACCTCACGAAGAATGGTCTCCAGTTGGCTAGTAAATTCAAACTTGAATTTCGGTATGGAGACGTCCACGGGTGTATCTTGCATCAGCCATACATGTCTCGTTAAAATGAAAGGATTGATGTCCCTGAGGAGCGAACCCAATCCCGACCTTGTGCGAGGAAGAACTATGAACATCGCGTACTTATGGCCCTGAAGCATCAATAATTAAACATCAATCTTGATTAACCAATTTTTTCTCTGCCGTCAGCTCTGCTAGAAAATAATCTACGGCACCTGATATGGAAGTCGAAGGATTTTTGCGTCCAATTCGGGAGCTTCCGAATAATAAAATCGACCAATGGCGTTCATGTATGGCACTTGGACGTTGCCGTCAGGTTTATAAAATGTTCCCGCTTTTGTATTGCTTATGGAAAATGGATTGCGGTGCCACGATCCTTTGAAGAACAGGGCATTCGCCACCACCATGACTTCATCCGCAAGTCTGGTTTCTGCAATTAATTATGCTTATTTATTATGGCCAGATTTTACGGTTTCCTTCTTTTCAGGGATACGTATATTTGTTGAAGACTGAAAACAAGAGAGAAATCCTGTGGGAATTTTTACCGAGGACGGACTTACCATCTTCGATCATCTTGCCAATATTACCCTGGGTGACATTACTGACCCATCGATTGATATCCCCGGCGGCGACATGTGCATTCGAAAAATTCGCACTCAGTACGTCGGCGTCGTAAAAGGATTTTATTATCGCCCCATATCGCTGTCTCAACGATATGGTCGAGTCGACGTAAATACGTGTAGCAATGTTTAGCGTGTATTCCGGACTCGTGGTCTATAACAATTTTGATAAATCAATCTCCTCGTGTCATCGTTCTTGTTCATCGCTTATCGGGAGAGGTACGCTACCTTGAGGGATTTTAAAATTTGGGAAAATCGATCCCGAGTGGCAGGACGACCAACCGGAAGCTGCATCACTCCAGCCAGCTCGTAAGCTGTCTGATCCTGCGCTCCTTCGTAAAGAAGCACCAATGCTAATTTAATGGATATCGGAGAAATCAAAACGTTCCCAGGATGGCTCTTCGAGATGCTCTGAAACGACCAAACATATCCTCGAATAATATTAACTCATCTGAGATATTTCTTTCAACGACTTTGCAGATCCAGATCACGCATCCTGGTTTCACGTTGCGATAATAGTGACTTTAATTAACGGGGAACAAATAACTCAACCGAATGGTGATTCACGTCTGGTTCCATTTCGGCGAACGTAAAGGTGAGCAGGATGAAGTCACGAGACAATGGCTCTCCCGTTGAACCAATGGCAAGTATACCATTATTTCCCCTTTTTGCTGAAATCATTCACCCAAACCTTGGCCATTTACCTGGGCCAAAGGTCGAAGTCCTGGGTGGATGACTCTCAAAGAGGAAAAGAGGTTCACCATCGATTACGTACTTTGCAAAGGTTCCAGTCAAAGATGTTGAAGCGCTCCCCTTGGAAAGGCACGAAGTCATCGACCTCGTCTTCGTCGACGAGGACTCCTGTGCCATTTCGAGGATATTGACTCCTAGATGACAACGAGGAATTGCTGGCAGGTTTTATTTCGGCGCCCCCTGAGTATTGGCATTCCACTATCAGCAGGCCCACGATCAGCACCAAAGCCGCTCGCCCTGAAAATCAACGTATGAAAATATCTCTTTTGGCCTTTTTGCCCAGCCTTGACTCCTGCAAGACGAGGTTCGACTCCATGTTGAGAGTGCGACCTTCGGCAGACGAGAATTATCTATGTGGCGGTCAGTGCCGAAGAACGGAACCGCAGTTGCCTCCAGCCGTAGCCTCGGTACCGGCTTATCAATTATGAAATCCAAACCACGCTAAAGAGCTTTAACAATCCCGGACGTGACATCAAATCGAAGAATTTCGCCCGAGACGTTTCCTCGCCCTTGAGATTGATCTGGAAATTCGGAATACTAATGAGCGTCGCTTCGAGCAGGCGTTGTAGGTAATTTATTCCGGTAAGGTGCGCCTTCGTATTTATACAAATGTCTGACTGGGAGGCACTCTTTACATACGTCTAGCTGTGCACTCTGGAAGCGAGCCGACGACCTTTTGGTTATCAGTCGTTACGTCGAGTCTTCAGTTACGTTCTAAATATTCAGTGGTAGCTTGTATTTCACAGCTAATATCCCCTTACGAAGAAGCTAAGCGATGATCTCCCAAGTAAATGACAATCTCTCGGGAATCTCCCCGAATCCGTGAATCGAAAAATGTCGGAAATCCAGGTAAGGACATGTCGCGCTGACTTTTCCGCATTCTTTTTTCCCCGCAATGGTCTCATACTCGAATCCCACTTTCAGGATCACGAGGTTTCGTCCGAGGATTGCGAAAGGCATATCGGAGCTCCATGTACCGGGAGATAACAAATTGCAAAGTTACACGCATTCGCATCGAGTCCCTGTTCCGGTCACCAAGAGCGAGACGGGACCTTGACCAGCAGAGTCCACCTTATGTAAATTATTCCCGCTCTCCACCTCCCAGAAATAATTCCTGCGTGGCACAACGTGAACACTATAGTTTAAAGGAATAATATCTTCCGAGTTTTCATCTGCCCTTGGCGGTGAAAAATCCGAGAAGAAAACGGCGGAAGTTAAGCCGGCGAAAGGATCCTTCTCAAAAGGCGTGTACGGGGAAAACTGGAAATGCCCAAGAGGATTAGTCTGTAATTTTAGTCGGAAAATGACTCACCGTAATATTCGCCGGCCAGCATCTTCAAGAAGTCTCGAGAAAACCACGAGGAACAGAAACTGAAGAAAAAACTGAAGAGTACCGAAGACAAGAGACGAACAACCAAGACATCAGAGTCGAAGGAACGATACCAAAAACAAATATTTACAAACGAAAAAAACCAGCAAGATATAACTCGAAAAAATACAAGCTTACCGACCGCAACAACTCGAAAAACAACAAGTGGAAACCAAAGAAAACAAACAACACGACAACACGGCAAGGAACAAAACAAAGAAAAACGACAACGAAGGCCACCAAAAAGCCAAGCCAAATAAAAAGGACCCCAGAACCATCCACGAATCAACGCCCCATACTCCAAGCGATCACCAAACACTACAGAGACCAAAAACCCAGAACAAAAAAGCACACGAGGAAAGAAAACAAAAGACGAACAAAAACTCAGACGAAAGCTGACCCAGCATCAGAGTACAAAAAAGGAAGCAAAGAACGAAAAGGAAAACAAGAACAAGAAAAGACAACAACCATAAAAGAGCCGAAAAAGTTACCACGAAAGATCCATAAGGACAAAACAACAAAAAAGCCCAAAAAGGAAAAAAACAAAGAAATTGGAAAGAATGATCAACCAGAACGAAAATTCAGCAAGTTAGCGGAACAAAAGAAAAAAGGAAAGGGCCATAAACAAAAAACCAGAAAGACTGATAAATACTGAAAAGAACACGCTAACCGCGCCCCCGAACACAACGCGCACGGCGAGTATAGAGCAACGCTCAACACTACGACTCCCCAGAGAACGCCAAAGCCTCCCCCGCGAAACCAACACGCACGCCACGCTGCTCCCACCGAACAACCCAACAAGTGTCGAGAGCGCTACTGATAAAAGACCTCACGGCGAATAGCCTAACAGGAGTAAAATACACCCTCCCCAGCTCGCTCACCTGCTCCTTCACCTGCGAACAAAAGCACTACTTGACGCAAATATAAGACCCGGGCGCATAAGGGACAAAACGACACACCCCAGCGCCGAGCCACGCCGGAGCAATATCACAAAGAACTCCCAGCGGCAGACTCGCAGCACAGAGAGTAACTCCCAAGCAAACAAAACCACCTCAGGACGGAAAAAACAGCGAGAAAATAACCCGAGCGGCCAAGCTAACCCCATGCATGAGAACAACAGATGACCCGCGACTCAAAAGATAGACCGAACTTGCAACAAGGACACAAGAGGAACCTAAGCCTGCGAGAGAACCAAGCCCAGGAAGGAGATCGAACAAAAAAGCGCGAAGGAGCAGATAAACGGGACAAAGACAACCCCGACAACCAGGACAAAGACGAGCCGCACCAAGCAGAACCCAGCGAGGAGACACAAAGACACGGCAAACCGCGCGCCAGCGACTAAAACAACGGTAAACCAGACACAGCCACGAAGAAAAACCGAAAGCACGACAAAGACTCCACACCCGGAAGGGACCCCGTACCCTACTCAGCAAGCACGACAAATGAGGAACGAGTAATACCCCAAGAGATACAACACAACAGGGGTAACCCGAAACAACACACCGAAGCCTACTGCCGCGGAGTAATTCAAAATAGCGACCGAAAGAAAAGCACAAAAGACGAAAACAACCAACCCCAAAACCACCACCACAGACAAACGAAGCCCCACCGGAACAGTCCCGCCCTCAGGAACAGAGCCGACGACCAAGGCCCAAGGACACGAACACCACGCACAAGCGCAAACGAAACGACCCGAAAACCCCCAAAGACCAAGCACCACCAACCCCCCGAACTCACCTCCACCCGACCGAGCGCAAAAAACAACGGGCCCACGAAGCCAGAAGAGACACCAAACACCCGCGAAAAACCACCTGCCAGCCCCCAACGGCCGCCGCGCCACCAACAGCCGTCAGATAGCATCCCACCCGCAGAACACGCAACCCGTGCAACACCCACTACCCCCGAACCAACAAGGAGACCACCCAGCGCCAACACCCGCAACACCCGGCAAACCACATCGCCAGAAACAGCAAAACCGGATTAGTAACTAGAGTAAGACGAGAGAAAAGGAGAAGAAATTAAGACCCGACACGAGGGAGCGAGACTTAGAAATAAAGAAAGAAACGAACAATAACGACACTCGTCCGCCCCTGCCCCGTCCTACCAATTTTCCCCATGAAAAACAGTAAAAGATGAAAAGAGTGCAACCAAAAGAAGAAAACCCCTAACGGAGCTGCGCAGAAAAAACGACAAACGGAGACGTCGCTACGACGCCCGGCAAAAGGCGAGAAACGGAAAGGAAACACCTCAAAAACCGACCGGACCCTAACGCTGAAGCTCCCGAAAATTCAACCGCTACACCGGAAGTCGCAACCACGTCGAGATTACCACCGCGAGCCCATGGAACTCGAACTACAAAAAAGCACAAGTGATACTAACAAACACCCACAGAAACAGAAAGACCCAGCAAAGCTAATGACACGACTCGAGACGCGACGGAAAAAGAATAAAAAAGAAAGACCAAACACGATCAGCACCGAAAACATACCAGAAAGAACCCATGAAACACCCAAGAAAAAAAAAACCGGGAGAAACGTTACTGAATTGCGGTACAAAAAGTTCGAGCGAAACGCCGGAGAAAAGCACGATACTGACAAAAGACAAGAAACGAAAACAGACAAAGAGAGCAAATCGATGCAGACGGCGGAACAAAAAAACAAAACATCCCCCGAAAAAACTCCCACAAACCGTCATTTGAGCAATTTAATAGAACGATACTAACGTAACGTAAAAAAAAAAAATTAGCCACCAAGAACAAACTCAAACTCAATAGAAGCAACACCACACAATTTCGAAGAAAAACGGGGAAACCAATAACAAAAAAAACAAACAAAAATAACCGGGCACGAAAGAACTCACTGAAGAAACACTGAACCATAACCCAAAAAAACAAAAAATTATCAGCAACCAAGAGACACTCCACTGAATGAAAACCCGAACGTAACACAAGATAAAAGAACATAATAAGGAAAAAAGTACTCCACCACTTACAGAAACGCAGGACTGCACGGGAGATAAAGGACAGCACAAGAGCAACAAATAGTGGCAACAACTACAGACACACAAAACAACATCTTAGAACCGAAACACCCCAAGAACACACAATGGAAATTAACACTTCATTACGAAAAAAGAACTAAAACGAACGGAAAGCACCCAGGCACCCAAACAAAAAAACGAGCAATAAGTAAAAAAATGCAAATCAAAAAGCACAAGCTCTACACGGAGACACCAAAAAAAAAGTAAAAGAAACACACCAAGAAACGCAAATAAGAAACCAGCAACACAAAATTGAGACATGAAAGATTCAGACAAAGAAACGAAAGAAGGAGTTCGTCCAAGAATCCTCGCACATAAAAACAAGGCAGTTAAAGAAAAATAAATCAAAGAGATCAAAGCGAGTGCACACGGACTACACTAACCTAGGTAACCGAAAATCCGGTAAAGCCATTGGACCCCTGGGACGCCTCCGACGGCTCCATCTACTACAGCCGCCAATACCACCCAAATCACCCAAATGAGCCAAGTAAGCGCAGCACCCCCTACACCCCAAAAAGTCAAAGATAGTACAGCCAGACACTAAAGACAGGAAAAAAAGGCAGTAAACTTACTCGACATACACGAAATACAGGAAATCCCGAAGAGTAAAAGGCGTGGACCAGGTGACCCCCGACACATCCAACTCATCCAAAACCACCAAAACGACGCTAACAGCGCTCGGATCTTTAACGTCCTTAATTCTCCCCGTTCTCCCCGTATCCCGAGAAGCACGAAAGGAAGCCACATAATCAGGATCCTCATTCAACGCAGCCAAGGACAACCTTCACAATTTACATTCACTAAATGAACCAAGGGACTCCTCGGGCGATACGTAAGAAACAAAACTAACAAAACCAAAAAAATCCGAAAAGTGCACAACAGTCACAGCAAACAGAGCAAATTCGAGACTGTCGATACGGAAGTTCGGCAAATGCAGCGAATGGAACAGGCGGATCAGACTGAAAATAGCAGAAGTGGCTACTGCTTCCAGTGCAAACGAAGCAAAGGAAGGTACTGCAAGCAGCGCAAACTGAAGTAAAGCAAGGTCAAAGAGGTCAAAAGGCGCTCCACGAACGCCACAAACGAAAGACAAGAAAGCCAAGTCATCCACGTCAACGACAGCAACTGTTCGCCGAACGGTTACAAAATGTCCATATTGCGGCAGTTTAAATGTTGTCATTTCATGAGGGTCACACTCTTCTTGCAAGACATCTGGAGCATCCACGGGTGATTGACAAAGCGATCCGTTATGTTCAGAATTTCTTGAATTTACTGGAGATTGATCGTCTTGACTCACTGTTGCCTGTTGTCCTTTTCTAACTTGAATGTTATTTATAGATTTTGACTGACATAGAGATCTTTGAGGTGTAAGAGAACACACCATGTCATCAGACTGTACTTCACTAGTCGGAGAATCCAATAAATTATTTTTAAAAGGTAACGTTCTTTGTTGGATCACAGTATCCGAGTCCGAAAGGTCAGTTTCGGAATTACTAAATAACCAGCTTGGGCCTTCTAATGGATCATCTTCATCGATTACATTATTTCGCTTGTTCTTATTATTTTTACCACTTGGTGGAGAATATTCATCTTCGCTATTTTTTAGAGTTCTTGACTCAGAATCGGATAAGTCTTCCGTACTTGGTAACATTTCAGTTGCTACTTGTTCATGGACTGTCTCATTAGATTCTTCGGTGATGTGATTTTCTGAGGACCTGCTACTCTCAAACAACTAAAAAAGTGGAACAGTTGTATGATTCCACATTTTCATGACTATAGGATACTCAGGGTTATTAATAAATTTAGAACACACCTTTTTAATATTAACAGTCTGAGAATTATGTAAAAGTTTTGAAACGTCGTTAAGAGTAACTCGAGGACTGCCAATATTATCAAAGACTGCATCGCCACTTCGTCTCGTCATGTAACTTCCAGAAAGCCTCATAGAATTTCGTTTAGAATGCTTCCGTGACAATTTTCCCGAATGTCTGTTACTCCTACTTAATCTCCTCTCTTCTTCGTCTAGATATAAATTATGTGTGTCAATTATAATAGAATAACAATTTTTTTCAAATAAGAAACATACCATCACTTCTTAACGAATTAATATCGAGTTTCTCAGGTAATCTGCATCTCTGCCTGTTTTCCTGTAATTAAATTTATTTACAATCCTTTCAGCTATCTCACAGGTGCATTACATTGTTTTAGAACCGTAGGAATTATTTTAATTTGTACATACATAATTAGACTGCCTATTAGAAATAGCAATAGGAGATCTGGCTTCAACCACTCGTTGAGCTCTGTCTGGTGAATTTGATCCTTCTTCAATTGAACTTAAGTTTGGGGCAGTATGAACACGCTGCATGTTTACTCTACTCAAGTTGGTTTTGTAATAAGATGGCCGCTCACCATTGGCTTTACTACACCTTTTGCAGGAGACTTTGTAGACATTCTCCTAATCGATTCTTTTCCTGTACATAGAGTTACGCTTACAAGCATTATATTACAAAAAGTAATACAATTCAATAAACTTCAGACTTACTTCCGAGTGAAGTAGAAGCAAACGAGTTCGATTCTCTTCTGGTTTTGAACTCTTGACAAGATGCTATCGTACTAGTGACGTAATTACTCATTGCAACCAACAAAGCTAATATTTCCTTTGCATTCTTTTCAACGCTTAAAATTACATGCTGCAAGAAAAAATGTTTCATCAATTTCAATTTCCCTCTATAAAATGGAAACATGGTTCACACTTATTAATAAACTCACATCATGGTTGCTACAAGCAACACTTAAATTATGAATGTCTGCGATTAACTGAACATTTTGAGCGAATAACCCTTGGCATTCTTGTTTCTCTTTCGACAGTGCTTTTGCCAATGACATGTTATTATTTTTTAACGTTTCATACTCTAAAATAGAATAAAGAAATCATTAATTTTCTAAGTCATTATTAAACAAAATCATTAGACCTCCCAAGCTTACGTGATTTATAGGTTTTCTTTTTTGGATGGCTTCTTATCCGCTGTGTTCTCTTAATAAGTAGTGTAGCCCTTTTAACTTTACCACGCTTATATACCGATGACATTGTTGCCTTATTTAAGTTCGTCCTAAGAAAACGTGTCAAATAAAATGTAGTATCAGATTTGTCCGATGAATCACAGTGGACGAAATAGCAAAACAGAAGTTTTTAAAAAGCTTGTCAGATTCATGCTGTAATAGGCATCTATGAATGCTTCAAAAGTCCTGTCGTACATTGTAAAGATTCTTAAAACTACTTTGTGTTGCATGCTATGCATCTTGAATTTTATTTCCTTAGCAGCTGACATAAGCGTCTCTATGAAATTCTATTATTCCGAATATTATAGCATAAAATATTCACACAAAAACTGTCATATCAAGAACGCCATTACGTGTTTACCTTTCGCTCCAAATTGAATGATTCAAGGAGCCATAAGAAATACAAATCTAGAAACCTTACTGTACGAACATATCGTTGTCAATGCTATTCGATTAAGAAATGAACGAATCCCTGTTCAGATATTTCGCTTATTATATCCCTTCTTCAAATATATTCTTCCTTGCGACTCGTTGAAGCTTCCGTTGCCATTATCCCGCCGTAACGTGAATTAATGACACAAGAGGCACTGGCGGTTGAAAAATAGAGCTTCACCTAACCATTCTACCATTGCCCTGTCTAGAGGGATTTAGTTCATCATTTCATTAATTATTAATGCTTTTAAATTAATTAGTGTTGTATCTTTATGCCTTTTAGGAAAAATTGAAGGCTACTTTTAGAAATGAAACAGTTATAGTAGTTACGATAAGAAAAAAAGAATGTATTAAAAATCAGAGATGAGGAGGATCCATGAGTTGGACCGCCATTGAGGGCATCAGGTGACAAGTGCATGAGTCGCCTGCATTCTCCACCGAGGACAGCACAGGAGGCGGTCGCACGACCAACCCATCTCTGTCATCTATTATATTGTGTCGTAAAGAAAATTATTTTCAAAAGTTTCATTCGGAGTCAATTGTTGATGAGTATGAGTGTGAGTTACTTTCAGTTACTTTTTTATTTGTAAATGCTGTGTTCCGAATGAATGATATTGCTAATCAGGTGGAAATTGCATTGCAATTGCGAAAGGGAATTCTATGTGCAACACGTATTAAGGTATTTGTTACCGTTATAACAAATTTATTTTAAATCAACTGTCACAACTACATACAGTGCAATGATGTTCTGTTGCGTTTATTCTGTATATATTTTTGCAGCTTTCTAAAAGGATGAAATGGAATTATTATCGCAAGTTCCTTTATTCTCTACTGAGCCCAGCACGAAAGGTTTTGATCTTTCGTCTGGATACAAGTGGATCTATCCAGAAAATTTTCCATTGCGAGATTATCAATTTAGTATTGTACAAACAGCATTGTATAATAACACGTTAGTGTGTTTACCAACTGGTAAGGAATAGGCAATTGTTCATTGTGTATCATTTAAGTAATTGGTATATGTGCTTCATATCACGGAATTTATGTAATTGAATTAACTTTAATATTTCTTTTGTATAATAAGGTTTGGGTAAAACATTCATTGCCGCTGTAGTAATGTATAATTTTTGGAGATGGTATCCAAAAGGAAAGGTTGTATTTATGGCACCTACTAAACCTCTCGTTGCTCAACAAATATATGCTTGTCATAATATTATGGGGATTCCTAGCAGTGAAACTATAGAGCTTACAGGTAATACAAATTTTTTAAGAAGCAATGAAGCTGCTTTTACTTGGTAACTAAAATGTACGTGGCTCTTATAGGTACAACGAATCAGAAACAGAGAAAAATTTCTTGGTCCGAGAACAGAGTAATATTTGCAACACCTCAAACATTTCATAATGATCTTGAAAAAAATATAGTGCCTATGGAACTGATAAAATGTGTGGTTGTAGATGAAGCTCATAGAGCATTAGGCAAACACTCCTATTGTGAGGTACGAGTGTGGCATGTCATTTAATTTATTATCGCCTATGAAGGTGTTTTATATTTTAATGAATTTTTAAATACATTTCAGAGCATACGGATATTAAGTTCATACAATCGGTATTTTAGAATATTGGCACTTTCTGCAACTCCTGGAGGAAAAATTGATGATGTCCAAGAGGTATGACAATCACTGTGGCTATTGATTATTCGGTGGGTTATATTAATGTTCTTTTCATAGGTGGTTTCCAATTTACACATTTCAAAATTGGAATTACGTGACGATACATCACCAGACATAATTCCTTACATAAATGAGCGAAAAATGGATATCATACTAGTTCCTTTAGGTGATGATCTATCTAAAATCAGGGACAAATATATTGCCATTATGGATCGGCATGTTAAATATTTAATTCAAAATAATGTATTAAGAGGTGCTACAGGAAATATTTCTAAGGGAAAGGTGATTGTTTTGACTAAAGAAAAAATATTTATAGCACTGCATCGTGCTATATGTAGCTGATAATATTGTAAATTTTAGATTTTCCTGCTGTCGAGAGAATACCAAAAAAGAACCAATAAGCCAAGCAATCATGGACAAATCATGAAAACATTGAGTATACTATTGACCATGTATCATGCTTATGAGCTACTGACTAGGCATGGATTGCGAGCTTTCCTTCATTTTTATAAAAGTACGTTTATCTGTTACCTAGTTAAGAATTAATTTACATTGAAACATCAATGTTCTAACAAAGGCCAGATTATACGAAACGTTACAACTTTATAGATCATGCAGATAAACCATGGATGTCTTCCGAAGATCAGTTGTTAGCCTTACTTAATGAAGTGGAATTGTATTTAGGACCATTTCCGGATATTCATACCTTAAATGATAAAGATGCTCTTCAGGTCTGTCAATGTAGCATAATTATAAATATGTATTATAATGAATCAGCTGCAGCTGAGAAATTGTGATTTTGACAAGGTATGTTTTTTTTTATAGATTCCAAGTGACTTTATTTTTGGGCATGCGAAGTTTCATAAATTAAAAGAAGTACTGTTAAGACATTTTAAAGCTTTCGAAGGTCAGGTGGAAAGTACTAGAGCGATCGTTTTTGTAGAGGTTTGTACCCAATATTCATAAGTGCATATGATGCCAAGTAGTAATTTTAATGTCGCTAATCCTTTTAAAGTACAGAGACATCGTTAACGAAGTGTTCGCACTGTTACTTCAATCACGGCCACTCATAAGACCACAAATGTTTGTCGGACAAGCAGGACTGAAACAAAAAGCACAAATGCAAGCATTGACAGATTTCAGAAGTAACCGTGTCAATGTTCTCATTTCCACTTCTGTGGGTTCGTAGATGTTAAGGTATATGACATTTTAATACATTGATCGAATAAGTTGTAGTAATAATTTAATTATGGTAGGTGAGGAAGGATTAGATGTTGGTGAAGTAGATCTGATCGTATGCTTCGATATATCTCAGCGGTCTCCTATTCGACTGGTCCAGAGAATGGGAAGGACTGGTCGAAAACGACAGGGTCACATAGTTCTTTTGGTTACCGATGGAAAGGAACATCAGGTACAGAAAAAAGTCTGTGATTAATGATAAATTTCCTATGCGTATTAAAAACAGAATGAGTAATTTATAAATTAATTATGTTAGACTCTCAAGGCTGCATTGTCCAGAAGAGATTCTTTAAATAACAAGGTGTTGGAATCGAGTAATATCGTATCTTCCTTATACAACGAAAACCCTCGAATGGTTCCACCTGAGTTTCAACCCGAATGTTACAAAATGCATATCGCTGCTCAGCCAAAAACGCCAAAAGTATCTCGCAAAATTAAAAAGGGCAACGCGGTATCGAAGGCAAAGAATAATTCATCCATAACCATTAAACATAACACAAAGAAGACTGACAATCTGCCTGAGATTGACAAATCAGCAATGCCGACATTTATTAACGATACGATATCTTCATTGGAAGCAACAAAAAAGAGTGACAGTGAGTACATGCATTTTTAACAATCTAATGATTTGTTTCTATTTATTTTAATTTGACTTGTTTTCTACACTTTTCAATGCAGAACCAAGTGTTAAAGGCCAATCATCGATAATGAGATTTCTTAGCAACGCCGCTCCTTCCGAAAATGCATTGGAAGTTGCAACACCTTTGCAAACACAGATTGCGGATGAATGTAACTCTTATATTCCTACAAATCCTAAAAATGTGCAGCTGTTGATGTCCGACAAAGCTGCAGTTGATTTTCTTACATTATGTACTTTAAAGATGTCGGAGCGTGAGGCTTCAAACGAAAGTCTAAGAAAAATGGATATGACCTATGTTCCTTCTTGGCCAACGAGAAATTACGAAGATATATTTAATTGTACAATTCCAAATTTAAGTATTTTGGATTGCATAGCAGAATTAACCGAGGAAACAAAAATTATAATGGAAAGAAATGACATTGTAGATGAACCCGACATAGTATGCATTAACCACGATATCAGTTGGGACAACAATTTTGACGTTTGTCATGAACAGATTAATGAGAAAGTAGACGAATCGTGGTTTGAAGATTTACTACTAAATGATTCTACAAATTCGTCTGAATCAGAATTAGCTCCTAAGCAGGAGAATAATGCAAATTATTGTTCACTAATGAAGAGTTCAAATGAATCTATTTTTGATCTTGTAGACGTTAATGAAGAAACTTTGACAAAAGGTGCATTTGAAGGTATACTAAGTGAATCATCCGATGAGAGCAGTGCACAAATATGTCAAGAAGAAACCGATGTACTTACAACTACTAAAATCGAGATCGACAAGAATGTTACTGTAAGTTGTACCAACGGTGCAACTAAAGCAATCGATAACTCAAAGAATTCCTTATCGACTCGTGATATTCATCCATCTACGTCATCAGCATGCGTAACTGATCCTTGGTTCGACCAGTCACCTAAGTCTTTTAGAAATGCATGTGAGCCGCTAGAAAATTTTCCAGAAAGTAAAAATGCTGAAATGAAGGAAACTGTACTTATGGAAAATGATACAAACTCTGTTCAGGATACTGCTGATACGAGTACTTATCACAATTCAGAAGAGGATTCGGATCAATGTGAAAGTTATGGCTCAAATAATAGCATGCTAACGATTCCTCAGATGCTGGAAGAAGTTAGACGGATTAGTGTACAAAATGGCTATTCTAATGATCTAGAGAACTTTAATCTATCTACGCGAAGTCAACGAGATAAAACTTTTGCAAGAAAGAAAGTAAGTGCGTCGCCCTCAAAATTGAAATTGAAACCAGGGAAATCTCAAAAGTTCGATTTCGATTCGGATGACGATATATTTTTTGTGAACGAATATGAAGAAAATAATGCCGATCATAACATAAGCAATAGAACTAATCACGAGTGTTCTGTGCCCTTGAAGTTACTTAATGACATAAAAATAGAAAAGCCCCCCGTGAGTGTCAGTAAAACAATTGCTAATGATTTAGATATTGGCGAGCTCGACTGGGACAGTGACTTCGTAATTTCATCGGCAAATACTCGAAAGAATTCCGAAAAACCCAAGAGCTGCAGTACTCCCATTAATCGTGGGGCTGTTAAAAAAGACTCGGAAATTTTCAAAAGTCCTAGTTCAGCCACCTGTGTAATAAATAATAAGGCGATGCAAAGGGAAATTAATTTAACCGGTGAATTTACTGGATGGATTTCATCGAAACCGAGGGAACTAAAAAAATCAGTGCCACCGGAAAAGGGTTTATTGAGTCTTAAAAGAGATGTTCAAAAGACTAAATCTCTTGTTTCAATAAACAAAGAACCTGCCATCGATGATCTACCACCCAGCGACACAACGGAATCAGAAAGTAAATATTTCACAAAAGAAAGAAACGAGGGCCCAATAATTCGGTCCGTTCCTTCATTGCTTCAAACAACTTCAGAGCCATCCCATTCATCGCGTGGTCAAATCCTAGATATTAAAAGTTTGAAGGAAAAATATTCGATTCAGCATTCGGTTCCGAAGAACGCTAATGAATTGCAACGTCGTCCTAACAACGAAGCATTGGATAATGCAGATATCACTAATAAACCATTGAACAGAATCCGGAATAAGAAGGAAGCTCATCGTAGGAAGGTGAAGGACAGGATGAAGAATAAATTTATTTCCAATGAAGCGGAGGTCTCTTTCGACGTAGACACTTCCGAAGGCAGTTCTGGCGAGGATGAAGACATCGAAGGATTCGTAAGTTATACTCAGGAAGTTAAGGACCATGTTGACATGCGTGCACATTATCTACAAACCGTTAAAAGTCCAGTTGTTAAGCCAGGGCGATTTATAATAAAGGAGAAACGTAACGATCACGAAATTGATGTATACTCCCAGCCAGTTTCGCAAGAGCAGGATACGTATCTTTACGTAAGTGCCATTAACCCTGAACATCGCTGTCCATGCTGTATACATATATTATTATTTTAGTACTATCGAAAAATGTGTTTCCAGGACTCCTTTTGCGTTAACGAGAACGAAGAACACCTTGAAGAGTGCGAGTCTACTTTTGACGAGCTCCCAGAAGAAGACTTTACGATAAGGAAACGTAAGAGGATGCGGTCTACTAAATCGAATAATATTGTAAAAAGGAGAATAATTGCTAAAGTCGAAAATGACGATAGTAGCGATGACGAGACGGAGCGTCTTCGCCAGCAGATCTTGAATGAGTCCCTCCAATTAAAATGCACAAAGAAATTATGAAAGTTGCGCCTCAGCAAGTATCATTACATTTTTCGGAGTCCCTTCCCTAGTCAAATGTACATTGTATGATATCGACCGTTTATGAAGAAAAACAATGTTTTTTTTTTGTTGCATCTTCGAGGAGCTATGCTTATTCAAATTTTTACGATTAATCTTTGTTACAATAAAATTATATATATTTTTCTAACTATCCTCGTCACAGGTTTTCCATCTTAAACTACGGTCAAATTGGCTTTCCACGAGGGAAATCGTTTTACGACGAGCAATCTCGCGGATAGCTGGAAAAGTTGACGATCGGCTGAATACTAGGAAGATTTTATTTCCTTTACGTTACTTCGGAAAATTCGCGATCGCGAATAAAGTGAGAAAAGTTCTTCCTTGATATCGAAGTAATATCTCACCCCGGGAACTTACAGCCTCGTCGTTCCGATTCCTAAATAGTTTTCTTTTTCTCCTTCAGAACATCATTATTTTGCAAGAGCAGTAATGCTGCCCTCGGATACCTTTTATTTAATTTCTGCCATATGCTTGAGAGCTTTCGAAATGTTAGCGATGCTTCGAGGTCTACGCAATTTAGCGAAAAGGAAAATCAAACGAAATAACGCACGACTCGACAATTGCACGACCTGTGATTATTGTAATAGTCTAAAGTGAGGGAAATTGGGACACGTGGGGACATTAGCGATATCCTATTTTCACGTTTTTAACATTAGAAGTCGGAAAACCACCGAATAAACATCTAGTTTAAACCTCTCGTGGGGACGTGCATTTTTAAGATAGCAGTTCTATCGTTTTAAGCGTACTTTCGGGGAGTATAAAAATGCTAAGTATGATTTCGCCGCACGATTCATATATATACATATCGGTCACGAAGGTGTTATAAATTGATAGCACCCGGAAATCCACGAAGTCTGCGGATCCACTTTTCCGGCAGGGCAAGGCTGTTCGCTAAACGGGTACTCCACCAGAAAACCCGTAAAATGACAAATTTCCCCAAAAGCACAATATTTGCGGTCTTCGCTATTATCGTTAATTACAACGTAAGTCTATTTAAAAAATCCAGATCACCAGATTTTTTTCCACAGATTTTCTAACGCCTAGGGATAGCGAGACGTATAATATAAATACCTGAATATAATTAATATCTCTTCAGCAAGTAGCAGCAGATCCCCAAGTGGATCAGGGATCACTATGCAGGAGTCACCAGTACTTCGACACGGAGAAGAACCAGTGCATGGATCTTCCAGGAGGTGGGACGATAATATCCGAGGATAAGGTTCACAACTGTGCCGATGGGGTCCCTAGGCCTCACGAATCCGAAGGAAGGTACTATTACGTGTGTAAGTGCGACAAGACCATCCTGGCCGAGTGTCCTCTAGGGTTGCGCTACGACGACGGCGAAAAGGGTTGCATCCAAGACGTAGGATGGAAGACGGTGAGGCTGGTCCAGGATGAGTACAGCTTCATCCAACTTCCAGCTTGCCTGGAACCTGGTCTATTCCCAATTCCCGATTACTGCTCACTGTATTACTCTTGCAACGTTACAAGCTCCTACTTGCTGCAGAGCATCTCGGTCTGCCCTCCTTCGACTGCGTTCAGTCCGTCCTTAAAGATATGCGCGTTCACGGAGAGTTGCAGTGGCGACCTGGTGCACCTGCTGGCCAACTCTGTGAGCAGGACCCAGGTGTTGAATACCGGTAAGAGAATTGTGGAAGGCGAGCCGGTATCGTCTGAGTCGAAGCTGAATGGCCAGGAGTCTCCGGCATCCTCGCCGTCCTCTGTCAGTCTGGTCCTGAACGGCGTCTTCGCGCCGCTCCTGGGCTCTGTTCCTGGCAGCACAGCTGGTGGACCCGTGCTCGTCCCGGGATTACCATCACCTGTTGGTCCTGCCTTAGGATTGACTCCTGTTGCGAACGCGCCTCTCCCTGGAAGGAATCCTTGCAGTCCAGTTGGATCTTCGGATGCCTTCCGAGTTACCGGGCTGGGAAACGTCGACGTCAAGGAACAAGTCGCCGGATGTCCTCCTCAGGGACCCTGGGTGAAAGAAGAGGTGATGAGAAGGCTTCGGGCGAGTCTCGAATTGCTGAAGGCACGTTTGTCCCAGGGAAGTTCAAGTCCTCAGGTCGGAGAGATCTTGCCAACGAATCCCGATGATCGGCAGAGGGAGGCTGAGACAGTGATAAACATGTTAAACACCATAACGCGCCTCCAATCGATTTTATCAAGAACTGAGAATTCTGCGACGCCGGAGGGGACTTCAGGGAGTAACGATGCAAGCTCCGCATTTGACGCATCGAGGATCCTATTATCATATAGAGATATTTTTAATGCTCTGAAGGATGATCAGAAGTATGGAAAGCATGTGAAAATTTTGGCTTTTCACCTTTCTCAGCCAGAAAATCCGGAGACCCAGACGGATGATTCAGCTTCGACGACAGAGCCGATATCGAGCTCGCCGCTTTCTGATACTAACAATACGGTTATCGATGACCTGCCACTGATCAATTTGTCCGCAGGTCAGGCCGACAGGACGGGCAGCTTCCTGATAGAAGCTATTCGGACTCTTCGAAGAAAACTTCATCGTCCAGAAAATGTCGAACCCGAAAGCTCGGAGGAGCCAACTTCCCCCAGACCTGAAGACGAGTCCCATGAAGAAGTACCCGATGCGCCTTCGTCCGAAACTTCAGGAGGCTCTTCACATTCGAGCGAGGAAACTTCCTCGGAGACCCCCAGTGCATCGTCTCCGAGTTTCGAGGAATTAAACCAGAATCAGGAAAGCCAAAATGCGCAGAAATCGGTCACGATCACTGTAGAGTCTTCAGGGGTGAAAGCAGTCTTGCCAGCACCTCAACCCGTGACGGAGCCGTCCAGCAACGGGGGCGAATCTGGAACAAAAGAAACAAATCAGGGATCAGTTAACATTGCAATTAATACATCGGAGTCTACAACTACACCAGCTACGGTTGAAGAGACTCCTGCTGATAACCAGAGTGGAATCGAAGAGATAGTGGAGAGAGGAGAGCAGCAACGAGAAAATCAGCAATCGGTTAATATCGTGATAGGTTCTCAAGAAACGACCACGCCGGCACCGGAGAATTATCCTTCTCTGATTGAGACACAGGACCAAGACGAGAAGAAAGAGGAAGAAAATAAGCAATCGGTTAATATTGTAATTAATACATCACAGAGTACTACAACACCGGCCCCGATAGTTGAAGTTCCAGTTGGCAATGAAAACGAAGAGATAGAGAAACAGGTACAGCAACGAGAAAATCAGCAATCCGTTAATATTGTGATAGGTTCGTCGGAAACAACTACCCCGGCACCGGAACCTTATCCTTCTCTGATTGAGACACAGGAGCAGCAACAAGAGAAGAAAGAGGGAGAAAATAAGCAATCCGTCAATATCGTGATCGATACTTCTCAGAGCACAACTACACCTGCTCCAATAATAGAAGTTCCTGTGGTGGAGGTTTCTGGCGGTAATCAAGGTGGAGTTCAAGAAGTCGTGGAACAAGGGGAGCAACAACGGGAAAATCAGCAATCCGTTAATATCGTGATAGGTTCTCCAGAAACGACTACCCCGGCACCGGAACCTTCTCCTTCTCTGATTGAGACACAGGAGCAGCAACAAGAGGAGAAGAAAGAGGGAGAAAATAAGCAATCCGTCAATATCGTGATCGATACTTCTCAGAGCACAACTACGCCTGCTCCAATAATAGAAGTTCCTGTGGTTGAAGTTCCTGGCGGTAGTCAAGGGGAAATTCTAGAAGTCGTGGAACAAGGGGAGCAGCAACGGGAAAATCAGCCATCCGTTAATATCGTTATCAATACCTCGGAATCTACTACTACACCGGGTTCTATCATCGTAGAAGAGTCTGGTGTTGGTGGCGAGACTCAAGAAATCGTGAATCAAGAGGAGGAGAAAAAAGGAGAGAAGCAGCAATCCGTTGAGATCGTGATCAATACGCCGCAAGCTACGACTACACCGGCTCCCGAAGTAGAGGGTCCTGTAGGTAACGAAGGAGGAACTCAGCAGGAAGTGGTGCGCCAGGAAGGGCAAGAAGAAAAACAGCAATCGGTCAACATCGTAATTGGAACCTCAGCTTCAACTACGCCGGCACCGGAACCAGAACTTTATCCGTCTATTTTGGAACAAGGTGTAACGGACCAGGAACATCGGCAACATGAGGACGAGAGGAAGCAATCTATTACCATAGAAATTAATTCGGGCTCGACGACCACTCCAGGAACGCTATTGGAGGAAGAGGATGAATTATTGGGTCATGCAGCGATGACTCAGAACGTTCGCAAAAAAGAAGTCCACGAAGGCGAGAATCAGCAATCGGTAAAGATTACAATTGGTTCCACGGAGACGACGTCACCGGCTTCCCAAGATTACCAGCCTTATGAATTTGAAGGAGGTGAGCATCGGCAGACGCACTACTTGCAATCTCAAAGTCAGCACAGGCTCCAGCAATCTCACTCTCACGGTTTGTCGTCCTCGTGGCAATCCGGATACTCGTCGCAGTTTGACCAGCCTTTACCTACGGGGCAGCAATGGTCATCGGGAGGTCAGCACGTCACGTCGTATAAAAAATACGTCAAGCAACCTGGGGTGTCATGGTCCATCATGTCGCCCTTGTACTCGACCGAACCGTCGACGGGTTCCTCCGGTAGCTTCTCGTCCAGCTATCAACATACAAAAAAGGTACTGAGAAGGATCACTCATCCCGATGGAACCGTGTCGACCTACTATGAGAACGGCTCGAACGAAAATCCAGAAGAAAGCGTGGCGAATGCACATGCTGAATCTGGATACCAGGAGTCGAAAACGCATCATGCAGAGCGCCAGCAATCCGTTCGAATCCTGATCGGACCTCAGCAGACCACCACCAAGCCGGCTCCATCGAAAGAGCAGTCCGGTGGGTCGTCCAGTGGGCTCTTCGGCAACTTCCACAAGGTGTTGCGGAAAGTCGTTAACCCTGTCGGAAAAGTATCCACGTATTATGAGAACGGCTCGTCGAAGAACGGAGAAGAGGCAGAGTCAACCGGCGATGTCACCTCGGAAGGGGAAAATGACCAAGAAGAGAGCCAGGCTTCCGGAGGAATTTTCGGAAACATTCTCCATTACCCTAAGAAGGTCCTGAGGAAGGTCGTCAATCCCGATGGGAGTCTGTCGACCTTCTGGTCGCGGAGCGTCCAGAAAATGTCAGGAGGTAGCGCCGAGAGGGAATCCGAAGGTTCCAACAGTTACTCTCACCACGGCTTGAATATCAATGGAGGTGTATCCCTGGGTGACTTCCGCGTAGGTGGAGGATTCTCCTTAAAAAAGTCATCTAATGCAGGGACTACCTTGGGCTCTGCCGGTGGTTCGTCGTATCAAGCGCATCACGGTCAAAATATTCACATGACTACTCACTCCGCTGGGAGTACGAAGAACGTTTCTTACGTATTGTCAAGCGGCTCCTCCGCGCCAGCCCATGCCAAGATTTCCTTGAATGGAGGCTCATTTCCTGCCACCCTGGACGTGTCGGAGAATGGCAATGCCCATGGAAGCCAGCATGCAGGGTCTTCCTCTGCCTATGGTTCCGCTTCCAGTCAAGCACATTCATTCGGAGGTCATTTCTCGAAATCGCACCATGTCCAGACCTCCCATAGCTCCCACACTGGATACCAAGGGACTAAAATCGTTAGAAGGAAGTGGTTCAGGTTTAAAGGTACAGGATTCATCACCTCCATCGCGGTTAGCGGAGGGTCGTAAGACTTCTCCGGGATGATCGAGGAGTTTCTCGCTATTGCGTTGTTTCTTACGTTTCAGGGCACTGTTCTGGAGTGGGAATCTTCAGGGTGCCTAACAGCTGTTCCGGCTACTACGAGTGCACCCTCAATGACCAGAATCTGTATACCATCAGCAGTGTCAAATTCTGTCCTGCTTGTCTACGCTTCAACCCTCAGCTCGGCAGGTGCGACTTCCCTCTGAACGTACCGGAATGCTCCGACGGGAAGAGCGAGAGTAGAAACTGCACCGGGGAGGGTAGTTTCCCCCATTCGGAGCTTTCCTCCGTCTACTACGTGTGCTCGAAGACTCCCGATGAGATCACCCTGGAGACCAGGACGTGTCCCATCGGCCAAGCCTTCGACAAGACGGTCGGGAAATGTAACGACAATCCCAAGGATAAGAGCCAGCCTCAGGAGTGCGAGGATCTGACCGACTTGCCTGACAACTTCGACTGCAGCAGATATTACTCCTGCGAGCAGCTCCAGGAAGACGGCGACCTGGAGAAAGTCGCCAAGACCTGCCCTTCAGGGTTTTACTTCAACAGCGACTCCGACACCTGCAGCAGACCCGACGAGATCAGCGGATGTGAGTAGAGGATTTCTAAAAGGAAAAAAAAAAAAACATTAGCACTATGACTAACTAAACAAATTACTTTTGCAGTTCCCGCCGAGACCTTGATAGACATAAGACACTCTACCTGAAGGAAGAGACATCTTCGTTGACTCTTATCAAAGCGATTAAAACCATCTCTCAGTGAATACGGTTCTCTCCGAAATTAATGTATCTCTCTTTATCGAGAAATTGGTATATCGGTGTTATAGTGGTCTACAATCGGATAGGCTTTACGAAGGCTCTGTTTTTTAATTATTCGTCCATGGCAAATTGGTAATAGGGGGGGATTAAATTTTTTTCAGCGTGTGGTTAGAAGTGCAGAGGGTTCAGGTCGTTTTCTAAGGCCGCGAATCGATGGAGGGACGTCGCTTCGAGGCTGGTTGGGTTCGTTTGACAATTTGGCATAGGATTGCGTTATAGAGGGAATAATGGCCGCGACGAGGGGCCGCACCTTCTCCTCGACAATAGTGCTTCTTTCCCCTCCAAGTATTCCGCGAGACCACGCACATCACAGCCGAGTTAATAGCCCCACGGGCAATTACACGCGGCAAATACATAAACACATAAATACGCGTTATTAACTTTGCGCTCAAAGGAACTGCCGGAGCGATTAGGCCCTTCAGAGCTTTACGATCCAACCCGGCTGGACACTCATCGTCGAGGACATAATTCCCTGGCTTTCTTATGCGAAAGACAGCGCTTCCCCGATGAAAGTCTCTGTATTCTTTTGGGACGAACCCCTTTCGCGTCTTTACCGCGACCACGTAAACGCGAACGCCGGAAATAACGCGATTCCCCTCCGCGTGAAAACCGGTAGACTTTGTCATCGCCTCGTTCGCCGTAATTCCATTTTCCACGTTGGATCGCAAAGACTTGGTGAAATACATTTCCTTCGAGACGCTTCTTGTCTTGGAAAGTGTCCTGCAGACTTTCTGCGGTAAGAGACCGATTATAGGGGAGAAGAAACAATGAAGGGCCAGCCAAGGTGTGGCCGAGACTCCCGCGTTTATATTCCACCCGGTCGTTCGCTCGATACGCAAAGTCCTGTCGACGGGGACTTTTTCGCGGGAGCCTCCTAGCCGAGCTGACTGGTGGACATGACATTCACAGTGTTACGTAACTGAGCAACACGCCGTCCCACACGAGAGAAATTCAATTTCGGCCGAGAGCATCGGCGCTTTGTGCCGCAGTTCAGTATTCAGCAAAATTGCCACATCTATCGACTGACCACCGGCAATGGGCTCTCAAGATTTTTTTCCGGCGTATCGATTGATGGAGGGATGCAGCGAGTCAGCGGGTATACCGTGGTAGTCCTCGTAATTATCCAGGGTAACAGCCGACGTACTTACATCTAGAGAAATATAAATAACAAATACTTCCAAACGGTACATATAAGGTATCTAAGGTACACGAGGTGTTATTTGAGAATACGATATTTTTTTTCTCGTCTACTAAAATCGAGTTTTCCAAGACTCCGCGCTCCAGGCGCCCGTACCATTCGCAGGTGGTGGATAATTCCCGGGGAGGTTAGGTCTTAGACCCTGGAAGGGAGTCGCGTAATTCGACGGTCGGCGGCCCACAGCCGGGGCCTGTGCGTGGGTGCGCTCTCCACACGTAACCCACACAAGCGGGGATGCCTCGGAAGCTGAGGCTGCCTACAACCATTATTTGTTCTAGTCCCCGAGCCACCCGGTTCCTCTCCTCCTCCGCGTCGCGTCGCCCCTCCGCCCCCGGTGGCGTCGGCGGCGACACAGCGCCATCCGCTCCGCTCCACTCCGTTTTCTCTCCGCGCCCCGACCTCCCCGGCCGCCGTTTCGCGCGTCTATTTATCCACCTAGCGGTATGATATTACACCCCGGGGCACCCTTTGCCCCCACTCCCCCGAGCCACGCCCACCGGCATCCCCTCCATCGGAACAAATGCGGCGCCACGATTGGTCGGCGCCTCCACCCCTCTGTTCCCGTTTTCTCGTTCCCCTCTCTGATCGCCCCACTCGGCAATCGCCGAGCTTCTGCCGCTTCTGCTGGAGGGGCTCTCCCTCTTCCCCCGACGCCGCCCTGCTGGAGAGGGTGTTGAAATTCAGGAGGCTTCATTTGGCTCATTCTTCTTCCACTGCTTCGCGTCAACTGGCAAAGGCACTCTCTCCTCTCCCTCTCGGTTCCGGGCGTCCGCTCGCTCCGTCCTCTTCTCTCTCGTTTGCAGTCCTCGCTGTCGCGCGGCGGCTCTTCCACCGTAGCCCAGAATTCCTTCTCAGAATCTCGCGATTATTATTTCTGCGCGACAATGCTCGCCATTATTGCGAGGAGGGCCCACCGTCCTGGCTGGGGCGGATCACTTCGCGGCTGGTCTGCGAGATGGCGGTACCGTCGGCGAGTGATTTCTTTTTCTGGTTGTTATGCATTAAATCTACCCCCTGGATCCCGTACCGCTGATTGGTCGCAATTCGGTCGGGATTACGCGGTGTGAAATGGCCCTTCCACTCTCGGCTCGGTCCAGACCGAATAATTTGTTGTACGGTGAACCGGATAGTACACAAACCGCGTATTTCCCGACCGTATTGAATCAATGCGAAATTGGTGCCGCGATCCTCTTTCCAATCGCCACATGCCCAGCCTTCACCGTGGCAAAATGGAGCATATGGACGGTGATGATTAACTTACGGGATAACTTGTTGAAAATATGGATCGACGTGGCGCCACGTGCTTCGGCTTAGCGGTTAACCTCCCTTAAGTCACCGCAGATGATTCCGGGTGGATCTTCGGCTCGACCTCATAAATGACAACCATAAAGACCAGCCGCTCCATTCGAGCACTGAAAGGCAGGGTTATGGCCATAAATTACGAGGGTATTAGTCGGCGAAACGGCGGGGCAGGCCGAGCGATTTGTCGGGGACTGGCGAGTACATTAGGCGAGGGCCATCACTGTAATACCGAGGTGATTCAGTGATTTCATATTCGGCGAGAATTATCATTCCCTGAGCCGTCAATTATTCATTGGGGATTCCGGTATTCTCTTTGAATACTCACCCGCGATATTTGCTTCGAATGACGCGCGGTAAACACCGCTCTGAATTAAAATCATCGCCCGTTCTAGGGGGTGGAGGGAACTCGTTATAACGCCGATGATGCGGGGTTAAACTTTAACGCCGCCCAGCTGGAAAAAGAATTTCTCATTAGGACTCGTCCGTGTTATGAGAGAGAGAAAGAGAGACGGAGGGAAGAGTTACGTGTCTGTGAATGTTATGAGATGCGATAAAACAAGCTTGCATTGTCCCATGTGACAGGTCTCGGATGGAAACCTCTTTACGGTAGGATGCAGATCGATGAAACTCAAACGCATCTGGCCACGAGCAGGTGCTGCGTTTCAATTCGCTCCTAAGTGGATTAGGGGTCAAAATGTTTTTGTCGGGTCACGTGCACTTCTCAAAACAAATCTCCCGCCGCTTTGGGATCCTGGAAACGATCGGCGAAGCAGGTCCAATTCTGAAATCAAAATTCAAAATGAGGATTAACACCCTTTTATGCGGCGACAAAAAGTATCTGACTTTTCCTACCGAGAACACGAGATCGAGTGACAGAATACCTTTCAATGAAATTCTTCGAGTAGAAATATTCAAATAAATTTGTTAACTTTACGGTTGCACCAGGTATCGGTATCTTTGCGATAATTCCGAATAATCCCCAAATAATTCCAAATAATTTCGGATAATTTCACGGAACCAGCGAGCTCGATCTCACCCCTTCTCCCCCAAATAGCCGAAAACCGATTTACCGGAAATCTTCCGAACAATGTCGCTCCAACGGGGCTCAGTTTAAAAATAATTTGCTCCCCCATCGAGCCCAAAGCCCTCCTACGGTTTGCTCGACTCCCCCATGGTTACGGTTCGGCTATAGCTATCAAGTGGAAAATTCGTTCATTCAAATGGAGGATCTAGTCTGCCCACGAAATATTACATTAAACACACGTTCGAGCCGTTCGAGCTTGAACCGAGTATCGATCAAAAGCCCGGCACTCGTCACAATTAATTACACATCGATCCCCGAGTGAGAATCGATGACTCGTTGGTCCACCCAGAGAATTGTGCTCGAGTGTTCAACCCAGATAGCGCCTCCGATCATTTCCATCTGCCACTTCTCAGGTGATGATAGTGCCCTTGAAACATACTTAAAGAGTAATAAAAAATCGGGAGTAAAGAATAAAGCGAGACGACCTACATACATATATATTACGTACCTCGGAAATAAGTTCTTCCACGGTGTTGAGGAGACTCGGCCATTTAACAGAATTAAGAACCGAAGGAAGTTCCCAAGTGGCCTAGGGCGGGCAGTCTGTAAAAATGTTACGAGGAGTTTAATTAGTCGACATTTTATTACCTATCTCTCGGCGGGAGGAATAAAGGAGGGCGGTTAATTGCCAAGTTTTATTCGACCCCGGCGAGAATCTCGCCCACCGAGAAAGCATTTTCCACTGTTATTCGAACTAAACGCGACGCAGTTTAAAAGCAGCCGAGCCCTGCGGGCGCGGAAAAGAATTTCAAAGTAAATTAAACGAACGGAAACCTCGAACGATTTCCCGGTATCTTCTCCTTATGTGAAGCGAGTATCGCCGTTGCATCTAAAAATTATCATATAATAGCATCGTGCGTGGTACATACAGTAGATCAGATCGCGTTTCATTTAACCTCAAACTCTCCCTACAGGGGACTTAATAAATCCACCTGGTAATCTAATTTAAACTAAATATTAAAATTAGTGTTACCTCGCGCACCTGGAAAATTCAAAATGGCGACCGAGTCCCAGCATGCACTGCGCGCGTTTTGACCGGGATCGAGGGTGCTCGCTGGAGCTTGACGTCGACGCGGCCCTAATTGTTTCATTCTTATTCGACCCACCGTCTCTCAATCTATTTCGCCCCTTCGGCCACTCCGATTTCATCCGAGCACCACCCGCGGTGCAGATATCACGCATCGTTAATGCTCACCAACAGGTTAACGTCGCGCACCATTAGATCGCTCGCTGCCAGAATCGAGATTTCTTACTTATCGATCGATCCTTGCGAGGTCCTCGCAGTCTCGAGCGCTCCGACTTACCGACGTCTAAGAAAGCAAGATGGCGGCTCCCGAGAGTAAGCAGAAAAGAATTCCTGATTCCTGTCCGTGAAACGAGGTATCAAAAACGAGATTAGGAATGAGAATCTTCTAAAAAATTATGCCGGATGAGGTAACGTCTCAGTTTGTAG